AGAATACCAGATACGTTCAATTTACTACCGTTCATATGAACTTTAATATCCGCCTGACTATCATATAAGGCTAACACCGGCCTACTGGATAATTATTTATTGATTTTTCCGAACGCCTTCCGTTGTTCGTCGCTTCACCACCAAGGTATACATCTTGCTTCGTAAGTTACTTCAAGTTCTCGCCATGATTGAGAAGTTGGGAATGAATTTCCGAAAATATGACGCCAAACCAAACAAATAGTCGCACGTCGTGTACGTTTTATGTTCTGGAAAATCAAGCACCTCCTGCACTTTATACCTCCCATGTTCAACGCCTTCACTGCTCACCTTGCGACCTAAATGTTCAATGCTACTCTGCAAAAAGGAACATTTTCTAATTTGAGCTTCACGCCTGATTGCTCTCTTAATTTAACACCAACTCCAACTACATCAAGTCTTCTTCTTCTCCATTTGAAGGAACGAGTAGATTCCAGATACGCCAATACGTCGCTATAGCGCAATTGCTCAAAATTTTACAAATCGCTCTCGCGCTCAATGTCTCGCTGCACCATGTAACCTTTTCTTTACAATTGTGGTATAAATATGTGTCACTCACCCGTGAACAGTCACCTCTTCACGCTGGAATCCGGGTCGCCAGTGTCGAAATAATTGATTAACTGAACCCCAACGCCAATAGTCGAAACGCCGACGTCGATACCTCTCTCCCTGTGATGGCACCTCGATCACGAGAAGTAAACGGTGTCTGAGTCGCCTTATCCGCCATCGCCTTCAACTTCATCGATTTATGAATCACTAATGCCGCCTGTTACCTAGTCGCCAACTCTACGCCTTTCATAAGGCCACCCGCTCTACGCGTTTCATAAGGCCACCCGCCCTACGCGTTTCATAAGGCCACCCGCCCAATGTTCTTTATGAGGCCGCCTGTTCGATACTTTTCATGAGGCCGCCCGCTCGATGCTCTCCATAAGGTCGCCCGCTCGTGTAGCGTTTGCCAATTCTTCTGTCGGAGTATCAGCTATGCTTAGGTTACGCCGCTGTGAGCCCGCCGTCCTCTTTGGTCGCCGATCTTCTTCCTGCTCACGATGTAGTTCTGCATCTGTATCAAGATTTCGTCGCTAGTACTGCTCGTTTTCTAAAATATTAGGGTCGGTATTAGTAAATTAATAATCATTTATTATCGCCTACGCCACTGTATTTTCCAAATATGCGGTCTTTAACGCCGATTATCTTCCGCCCAGTTTACTATTTTAGCGACCCTCGCTAATCGTAATCCGCCGATTACCAATCACCAATCACCATCTGTCAATCGCCATCCGCGATCTATTAATCACCAAACGCCAATCGCCGAATATTAATCGCCATTTTTTTGTTTAATTAGTTACGCCAATTATATTTAATCAAACACCAAAGATTAATTCACCATTAAAGAAATCACCAATTCAATAGTCAAAACAAATCGCCAATTTGCTAAAATAAAATAAAACTACACCATTGGAAAATTCAATTGAAATTAATTTCATCCGCACGCCTATGGTCGTTGGAATGTGTTCACCTTGTTATTGTTTTTTTTTTTTGTCACCACTAGTCAAGTCACCACTCGCCGTCGATTGCAAAAATAAAATCAACCAAGTTCGCCGTTTACTGCAAATATCAAAAAGCACGTTCGCCGTCGCACATGCACACACCCATCTTTTCTCGCCGGTGATGAATTTCGTTAATTAAATTTTTTGAATACGCCGCATCTACTTAACTCCAGTATACTATATCGCCGTAATAATAAAATAGGTACTTACTGTTTAATCGCCTAAACACTAAGTAGATGTGGATCTTTATAACACCTGTCAAACCAAGATCTCGCCCTTTCTTCGCCGGAGATTTTCCGCCTGAGAATCCTTCACCTTTCTCTTTGCAATTTACTCTTCCATCGTTTCCAAGAGCCGCAGTAATCGTCGAGCCGATGGAATCAACGCCGTGTTGCCCATTCTGATTGCTCCAATGTTGTCCGCTTGTGACCAGTCATCGATCGTCCAAAGTTGATCATCTTCTGAACCTACTGTTCAATTGTAGAATCTGAATCGTCTGGATAAAAACGATCCAATATCTTCGGTCCTAGTCGTACAGAACGTCTTCTGCTACCGCCTTCCTTTACGTCAAGGGCATAACGCCGTAACCGCCGTGGTCATATCGATAATATCACCCATTATAAGAGCCACCTGCTTCTTCGCTATTTTCTTCACGCTCGAAGCTAACCGCTCGCCATTAACGCCTTCACCAGTCCTCCAACTGGCGTTACCGTCAGATCAACATCTCGCCTAAGTTGCGTCGCCTTAGTGGAAAATAAATCTCGCCTCTAGTTGGTTTCACTTCGCCTTGGTGACCCGTCGTCCAAATGTAACTCCTCGTCTAGAACTAATTCGTCGCCAAAGGCAGTCATTTCTATCCGTTTTATATATCAGTACGCCACTGATAAATATTTTCGCCAAAATTATTTGTAAAATATCGCACGCCTATGTTATCGCAACGTAAACAACAACCTTTGTTTTGTTTCAACTTGTTTCGCCGTCGAATTCAATTAATCGATTCGTATATCGATTATTCACGTCACCGTTCGTTGAAAATCAACCGGTACTGCGCGCGCACCACGCGATTCTTCTCCAACCGGCTTCCAATATGGCCGTCAATTTTTCTAGAACTTTCAAAACGCAAATCGCCGGTTCCACACTATCACCGTATTGTTCACCAATATATTTACGCAAAATGTACTTACGGTTGACTAGGATCTTACCGCCCTCTTTTATAACCACCCGTTATTTGTTTTCCGCCGCCCGCACGGCAGGAAATTGTCGATCGCAATTTTCTCACGAAGAACACCTTCTTTCACGAGAACACCAGCTTCCACATAGGTCAATGAGCTCCATCCCACTTCTGATCTGTTAGACGAGTAAAAACGAGTCGAATAGAAAATTCACAAACTCTTTATTCGGTCACCATTAAGCATTACAATTAGTATAACGCCTACGCCGATAGGTAGATTCGCACTGAGAATCGATACGTCGATCGATTCTATCCGCCCCGTCGTTGTCCACCCGACACGATCGCCACCTACGGTCCGGTCTCTCTCGTACACATATACCGAGTCTACCCCTTACGCTGGATTCTCGGTACACGTTATTTAAACGCTAATTTTGACGACGTTGTTTTCTCGGACGAAAAGTGTTCAGAACGGATGAGAGTAACCGTTGTTTCGTCTATAGGCCCCCAAACACTCGATACAACCGAGAAAATATCGTACCGTTAAAAAAAAGTGGTAGAATAACGTCTGCATATTGGGCCTATTTTACATCCCACGGCATTGGTGATCTTGTGCTAATAGAAAATAGACTGACAGCGGCTCAATATGTTGGAATATTGGACAACCATCTCCTTCCACTGGTAGCGGCTAACGACGGAAACAACGTTGCGTTCGTCCAAGACAACTCGGCTGTACACACAGCTCGAATTGTCCAGGAATGGTTTGCGGAGCACCCTGAAATCGAGAAAATTGAATGGCCAGCAAAATCCCCTGACTTAAACCCCATAGAAAATTTGTGGTCATATATAGTCAGGGATTGGCCAAACAATATAAGAAACCAGGTAGGGCTCCGCGAACATGTGGAACAGCGTTGGAATGAAGTCACTCCCGTCTACTGTTCCACACTGGTCAATTCCATGGGACGAAGACTACAACAGGTCTTGGATAACGGAGGATATCACACCCGTTATTAATGGGTCATTTATTGTTATTATTGGGTACTTATTAAAAAATTTGCATTTATTTAAAATTTGTAAAAAATGTGTATGTTAAAGAAATATCTACGTAAGTAAAGTTTAATTGTTTTTAAATTTAATTGCAGTCCATTTTATTTATCTTAACCTATTTTTGACTAGAAAATGCAAATTTCAAATTATTCCAAAAGGATAACGACTTTATAGAATCAACAAATCAAATTTAATTTTTTTTACAATGACCAAATTTATTTATGCCGTACATAAATGGATTATAATTGAAAAAGGCATATCTGACTTTGGTAAGTTATTTAAAATCGATATTTGCGTTAATAACATTTAAAAATGTGTATTTAATAATAAAAATAAAATAAATTTCAAAACACGAAAAAAATTTAAAGAAAATTTTTAAGAAAATTATTTGTAATAAACGGATGCAAAAAGTTTTTGCAATCTTTCTAATTCATTTGCAAATCTAATTTCAAATTATAAATTTTTCAATACTTCACATTGTCAAATTAAACAAAAACAAATAAATTTGTTATTATTGTTATCAGAATTAAAACCAATAAAAAATAAAATTCAAAATAACAGAAGCCTAATCATTTATGCTAAATATTCTATTCATTATCCCATAATAAATAATTTATATTAAATAAAGGAATGTAAATTCACAAAACTTAAATATGAGCGGCTCGCTTATTTACAAATAAAAATTCCCAATTCGAGTTCGACAATTGCATCTCAGAATTGTAGTTTAAACTTTTACCTAATACAATAATCCGACACAGCTGATGTTTACAACAGTGTTGCGAGCGCTATTTAGAAATGAGTAGAACCTTTATGTGGAGGGGCGCACTAGAAAAGGAACGTGAATCATGAACGAGACATCGAGCTGGACACCATTGTACATTTCGACTCATTTTTTTACAATCTTTTCAAATCTGTTATTTTTTATGAACGTTATTTGGTAAAAAAGTTAGCTTGCTTTTGACACATTTGTACAGGAATCCCTATGTCGCATCTTATAAATAATACAGTGTATACAGAGTGTTAACTTTAGCGCGGAGCAAAAATTAAGAGAAACGGTATAATGGAGCATATACGTATGTCTAAGAATGAGAGAATATTAGAAGCAGCCACTCCCGACGTAGCGACTGGAAGGGAGGCTCGACCGATGCGCGATCGAAAAAAGCGATTTTTAATTCTGTTTTTGTTTCGCTAATGAATTTCGTATTGGCTATCCCGTACCGAGATTGCTCCGCGATAGAGTTAACACTCTGTATAATGTTGATATGTATTAATAAAACATTATTGTACTACAAGTCCGTCAATTACTGATCTATTGAAAAGAAATTCCCAACAGATAAGTTGTGTTGATTTATTTCAATTGAATTTTTTTACTTATCTTGCCTATATTAAATTTTTATGCAATACCATTTTTAATGTTACATGCTAACAAATTTATATAAATAAAATTTTATATTATATTTAAATATACAACAAAAAAAAACATGTAATCTTACAAAATAAAAACATATAATTCAAACCCACGGCGCCCATCCGGCGAACATCCTACCCAACAAACCATAATCGATCGCGTGACTAATCAAACAATCCACTTGCTCCTCCACGTTCAAATCCTCCCTACCCGCATACAGAGCGTTCCCTGCCTCCCTAACGCGTTCCACGTAAGCCCTCTTATACTCCTCCACGCCTATACACCCGTCGCGCAACTCCTCCACCACGATATCCATCGAACAAGCCCCCTCCAACTTTCTTCTCGCCTGTCCGATCTTCACCCGGGGGTACCACTTCCCCGTCTCAGGCGACGAGTCTCCGGCTCGCTCCAGCCAATTCAACGAAGGTTCCTTGACGAAGACGTCCATGGCGGCCAACAGGGCGACTCGATTTGCCCGCAAACATCGCATAGAATGCGCCATGTACTCGGCGAAGGGACCTCTCTCGCCGTGCGGCTCCATTAAAGCGCGCAGGCGCGCCGTCAACCGGAACGGCACCAGCTCGGGCACCAGTTGCGCCTGCGTGGCGGCGCCGAAGGCTTGACCGAAATCGATGCCGAGTAATTTGCCGGTGGCGGTGCAAATGAGGATGTTGTCGAGATGGCGGTCGCCGATGCCGAGCGTCCAGTGGGCGGCGCAAATCGACGCATAGGATTTGATGAAGTTATCGCGGAGGGCTATGAACGTTTCGGCGTCGACGGAGAGCGAACGCAACGAGGTCCTGTTGGAATTATTAATATGTCCAGAAATATTGATGTAAATCATGCAAAGATATGAACAGCCTTATTCATAGTCGCCTCCTTAAAATGATGTTAAAACACCACTACACCTTTTCCAGTTGTATTTCAGAAAGCGTTAATTGAATTTAAGAATAGTCAATTGTATTTAAGAATAGTCAATTGTATTTAAGAAATTATCATTTGTGTTTCAGAAAGTGTCATTTGTATTTCGGAAACCGTCAAGAGAATTTGAATGTCCCATTGAAATGCAGAATTCTTATGACAATTATTAACGAAGAAGAAAAACTCTGGCCACTCCACAATTTATATTATTTTTCGGACTTGAAACAACTTCTCTCCGGAATTGAAATAATTTTTTTCTGAAATCGAAATTATTCTTCTGGAACGGACACCTTTATATTTTTTTCTGAAATTGAAATTGAGAAGCTATGGATATTGAAGAATTCCGAAATGCAAATGATGATTTCTGAAATGAATTTGACTATTTTGAAATTCAAATGATCGTTTCCGAAATCAAACTGATTTTTCTGAAATACAATTGATACTTTCCGAAACATAAGTGGCCATTTTAAACTCAATTGACGCATTCTTAAATGAACCTGACGCTTTCTGAAATACAGTTGGAAATGGTATAATTAGTAGCCACTAACATCATACCAACAAGCCACTAACGTTTCCTATTCATAGTCATTAATTTCTTTCCCACTAGTTAAAATAATGCTAGCAGAAAAATGAATGTGGCAATAATGGACATAACATTTTGGTTATGTTATTGACGTTATTGTGTCAGACGAACGTGCTGAGATCAATTGAATGGGTGATGGGAAAAAGGATAAAATTCCATTCTAGAGATATTAGAAGAAATGCTTATGTAATTAGAAATAGGTATGCGTTGAGCAATTCATTTATTGCTAAGTAGGAATTATTGGAATAAAATATTAAATACTAGTAATCGACACTTTGTAAGCGACATCTACCTTCAAATTGAGGACTCTGCACTCAGCAATATCCAAAGGTTGAATACCTGGACTTGCGGCAATTTCCTGTGTGGTGACTCTTGAGTTTCGGATGTCGATGTCATCACTACCAACTTGTAAAATAGACAGTGAGAACTGACTCTTCAAAGGAAGAAGACATGTAAGGAAACATTGAATAAAAGGGGAAATTCTAGAAGGGAAGTGTAAGAGTTTTAATGTTTAACGCCTAAAGAACCCTATAAATTATAAGGTTATTACACATTGAACCTTATTTTTGGTAAAACAACAAAAACTCTTAACGACGAACCCCCGTATTTAACAAAAATCATGATTATTAGCCAATTATTCACCTTGACCAAGTACGTTTGATATCAAAGTTTGAATGGTTTATATCTCTTTGGCAACTAGCTATTGGTATTTGAAAGTAAAACAATTTTATCCTTTTTCCTCTCAAAATGCAACGAATAGTTCAAAAAACTAAAAACTGTTTTTTTTTTCAACAGCTTTGCCATTATTTTTGAAGTATTGGGACTACCAGGTTTTAAATTAAAGTATATCGGTATTAGTTAGCCAGTAGATATTTAAGGAAAGGTGCATGTAAGAAGCTGAAGAAATAAATGTATTGATACGAAATCCAGTTGAAATTCAAATATTAGCAAAACGATGAGATACTTACCAAAAGGGTAGTAAAAAACACAGTAAAAATACAGGAAAGACGCAGCGAATGGTCGATTTCACGCACCAGACATTTGTTGACATGTTGAATTATGTTTAAAAGCAACTTAAACACCCCTTGTAACGCCACTAAGAAATTTAGTGGCTACTAACAAAAATAATATCTTAGTAGCCACTAAATACGACTATGAATATGGCTGTAAAGTTTAAAAGAGGAGTCTTTAACTTGACAATTTGGTTGTTATGGAGTAACTAAGAACGTTGTTTAAAACATTGAACATTGAACACTGAACATTGAACATTTGAAAATTCGTTCAAAACATTAAAAACAATGTAAAGTTCAATGCATAAGTATTTTATGCATTGATGGTGCATTTTAGATTAATCCTTCGCCTACCTCAAAATATCCCAAGGCACCTCTTTGACCAAAACCGATAAATAATCCACGATTTTTTCCTTGTTTATCGTCATCGCGGCTTTACCGTAATGGTGGAAGTTATTCTTGTTGGTTATGTTGAGGTTATTTTCGTATTTACATCGCAATTTTCCGAATTCCTCGATTCGTTCTGGACCAATTAAATTGCTTTTTATGAGATGGTTCAAAGATTGGGTGTTTTCGATCCATTGAATTAGACCCAAATTGGATGTCAACGGGACGACCTGAAAATTTAATCAAAAATAATTACAGGTAAAATAAATAAATACGTTCAAAACTGTTCTAAATCATTATGAAGGGTTTAAATAGATATTTCTAGAAAATCCTCATTCGGCCTAAAAGCAATCCAAATAATTCTGAACAGTTCTGGACTATGTATACATACATTATATCATTAGTAATATTATTTGTCTTAGAAAAAAATAAACATTTGTTTAGCTATATATACCTGGTAAGTCAAAATTTCCAAATCGTTATTAGAACAAACGGTTTCAGTCTTCATAAAACCGTTCATCAGCCTGAACAATTGCATTATCCTTTGATCCTGACGAATGTCCTCGCCCGATTTGATTAGAAACGGATATTCCTTCGTGTCCGTTCCCAAGATGGTCACTTTGATGGGATTCCTTAACGATTCCATTATTTTTATCTGGAATATATTTATTACGTGTGTTTGAGCTTATCTGAGACAATTTTGTAAAATTTTTAATAACAAATACGGTGTAACACTGTATGATGGCATGGCAGAGTAGAAGAGAGTAGAATACATTAAAAGAGATTAGAAGATAGTAGAAGAGATTAGAAGAGACTATAAGAGAGTAGGAGAGAGAGTAAAACAAAGTCGTGTAGTGTAGAGTAGACGATAGTAGAGTCGATAAGAGTGGAAAGAAAGTTGAATAGAGACTCTTCGATTCTACTCTGCTCTACACTGCACTACACTTTCTTCTACTCTTTCAACTCTCTTCTACTCTATCCGACTTTGTATGTATAATCAGAACACAATTCCCTTAAATTTTGGAAACACCTCTCGCATTACCCGTTTCTTTTTTAAACCGAACCCTAATTTGAAATTTCTAATAAATAAATAAATAAATAAATTATACCTCCGGTCGAAAACCGGATATCCTGACGTGGTACTCGCTCAAAGGTCTCTTCCCGCCATCGTATTGGCCGGGAATTTCCAGATCGGCGTCGAATTTTCCGGCGGAGAAATTCGCCAACCAAGGCGAATAATCTTTCAACATCGCCGACATCTCTCTGGATCTTATTTTGTATCTTATGGCAAAAGTTTCGTCCAGTTTGGTGCGGATTGTCGCGTGCACGCGGCCGATTTCCGCTTCTGGTGTGAAAAATTATCGTCGATAAATCCAGAAATAATGTTAAATTCCATATATTCAAACTGTTTACGTGTAACCAACCGGTTATACAGGGTGAGTCGTGAGGAATCGTACATACTTTAACAGTGCATAGAGGCACTTAAGGTGAATATCATACGACCATTAAAAGTTCCATCGGCCTCTTCTCTAAGGAGATACAGGGTGATTTATGAATATTGACGAAAATTTCTTTTGTTTATATCTTTATGGTGGTTATTTCGATTTGGTTCATTTTTTGATAAAAGTGTACATTTTGAAACAGCAACACACTGGCATATTCAGAATTAAAAAATTTCAGGACCGTCTTCAAAAAAAAGAGGTAAATATTTCCAAACTTAATATTTCACTCTGTATACACTTTTTCTAAACTTTCATTTGGTTAATGTAGAAGGTATAAGTAACTCTTAAAGTCTGAGCATCAGAAATTTTTGCCTTTGCACTTTGTTTAAATTGTCAATTATCAATTAACTTTTAAAAAAAATTACACATTTAGGATAACCGAATAATTTACATTAAAATAATATTTTCTATCGTACAAATTTTAATGAAAATTATTAAAAACGACTAATTACATATTCCTTTCTATGATAAAGTCCTAAAATTACAAAAGAAATCTTAAAATTAACTCAATAAAAATATTTAACGCGCATGATAATAACTGTTCAAAAACTAACGAAAAACGATAATTCAATAAAAAGTCTATTCTACATTATAAAACATGTTCAAAATGAAATCCATTTGCCACTGCAAAATTCGTAAACAAAAATAATATCAGCATATTCAGCAATTGAATATTTGAATGGCATTTTTTAGTAAACAAAGTGTATCAATTAGTAACACACAACGATTCAATTCATAATTATTGACGAAAAAATGAAACCAATTGTTAAAATGCAAAAACAAAGAAAGGGTTAATTTGTCATAGACTATTTCGATCATTATATCTAATTTAACATACAGAAAAAATAATTCAGTAGAGAATAATATTAAATTATTTTTTTTGTAATTTTAGGTCTGTCTTTTTCATAGAAAGGAATACGTAATTAGTCGTTTTTATTAATTTTCATTAAAATTTTAACGATAGAAAATATTATTTTTATTTAAATTATTCGGTTATTCTAAATGTGTAATCTTTCTTAAAAGTTAATTGATAATTGACAATTTAAACAAAGTGTGGCAAAAATTTTCCGATGCTCAGGCTTTAAGAGTTACGTATACCTTCTACATTAACCAAATGAAAATTTAGAAAAAGTGTATACAGGGTGAATTGTTAAGTTTGGAAATATTTACCTTTTTTTTGAAGACGGTCCTGAATTTTTTTAATTCTGAATATGCCAGTGTGTTGCTGGTTCAAAATATATACTTTTACCAAAAAATGAACCAAATCGAAATAATCACCATAAAGATATAAACAATAGAAAATTTCGTCAAAATTTACAAATCACCCTGTATCTCCTTAAAGAAGAGGCCGATGGAACTTTTAATGGTCGTATGATATTCACCTTAAGTGCCTCTATGCACTGTTAAAGTATGTACGATTCCTCATGACTCATCCTGTATGTATATTTTATCAACCGTTATAATATTTCAATCGGTGTTTACAACTCGATGTAACCCGTTGGTTATAAAACCGTTTGGGTAAGCATGGCAACATTGCTTACTTGAATAAAAAAATAGAATGTATGGTAAATAAAATATTGATAATTATGAGTAAAATCGCTCACCTTCCTTCATAAATTCCTCGAAATCCTTTCGAAAACCTTTGATGGCCCCGTAAATGGCTCCTTGGAAATTATCGCAATTTTCGTCGAAAATATCTCTTAGCAATGCGCATGCGTATCGTCTCATTAACGACTTGTCGCGAATTTTCTCCATTTTCGACGCGTGGTATTTTAATAGTACTTCCGGTACGGTTACGTAGGTCAATGCCTTCAGGAAATTGTTGACGTTCTCATCGGTTAATAGCAATTCATCTAACCTGGAATGCAAATTATTAACACATTAATGCAAGGTTTTGTATCCAAAAGTTATATGATAGGTTATATGATCTAGAATGATTCAGAACTTTTCAGACTGATTTAGAAATGTCTAGGATGATTTTGAACTGTCTACAATGACTCAAAAATATTTACAACGATTCAAAATTGTCCAGAATGATTTAGAGCTGACGACAATGATTTAGAACTGTTTACAATGATTCAGAACTGTCCAAAATCATTTTGAACTGTCTACAATAACTCAGAAATATTTACATAGATTCAATAAAATTGTTCAGAATAATTTTGAACTGTCTAGAAGTATTATGAACTGTCCAAGAATGATTTAGAACAGCCCAGATTCATTTAAAGTTGCCGACATGATTTAGAACTGTTTACAACGATTCAAAATTGTCCGGAATGATTTTGAACTGTCTAGAAGGATTTTGAACTGCCCGGAATGATTTAGATGTATCTACAATGGTTTAGAATTGCCTAAAATTATTCCGAACTGTCCAAATTCATTTAGAATCGTCCAGAATCATTTGGATTGCTAAAGAAAAAGAACGACAATCACCAACCTCTCAATCAACTTTCGAGCCACCGAAATCGATCCATCATCATCATCATCATCATCATCATCATCATGATCGCCATCTTCGATCAACCTATAATGCCCTTTGCTCAACCTGTACGCGTACATAACCGCCTGCGGATACGTTTCGGCCAATCTGGTTATCGTCGGCGCCAGCGCCCGAACTCGGCGCGTATCGATCTGGGCCAATAACTGCGGTATCCAATCGATAAACATCCACGTGGGAATACCGGCGGATTCGTCGAGGAACGCTTTATCGCAGAGGGCCTCGCCCAATCCGTCGGCGGTCAATAAGCACGGGAACAATTGTCTGCCGGCGGGCGAATCGAGCCTCATGGCGCGGAGCACGAATTGCACGAAGTACCTTCGAACAAAAAAAAAATTAAAGAAAGTGGATGATATTTTTTCATTTTTTATATAGGTGTTTTTAGGCTTTTTTTAGGTTGCAGAAACGACAAAAAGTGCGGAATCATCGCAGCATCGGTGTCTTTTGATGCAGTGCTGGGTCAGAATTGTCGAGAACCATCTCTATAGAATGATTCGAGAGAGTCGAGAACTGAGAGAACTTCTTAGATTTGATTAGAACGATTTTGAACTGTCCAGAATGACTTTTGGAATTGTCTAGAAAGATTTACAGCCGATTGCACCAACTTATTTTTAAGGGACCATTAAGCCCAATAGAGCTTTAATAGTACATTAACGTTCTTGGCTCGTTGCACCACATTTAATATACCTTTTTGCGTTCTTTAAAGCGACCTTACATAAGTAATCAATTTTCTCCAGTTAAAGCTTTATTAGCAAATATTTCATAAGTCAAAGTCACCATATTTGTATTGAAACGTTTTCAGTGGATGTGATAACGTCCAGATTAACGTGTTGGGATAACGTCTGAATCTAACATATTAAAATGCCCTTCTACAGTTAAAGGATCCAATGTAGATAAAATTAGTTCATCAAGATCATTTAGTTTCGATGTAGATTGGCCACCTGCCGTTTTTAAACATTCTTGCCGAATTTCAGCCTTTTTCTTCCTCAACGCCTGTCGTTTATTTTCATAACATCTGTTTAATTGCTCAGTTCTATTATTAAACTCTTAACTTGTTGCATTAAATTAATCTTTAAATTTTTCCCACGCTTAATTCTTTTCATTGTTTGTCACTGCATTGGTTTGTTCGCCTTCCATTCGCCCTGGCAGCTTGGCAGCCAACAAGCACCTCGCACCGACTAACTGCCTGAGCGAACCGGAAGTCGCTTCCAGGCTGCAACAGCCTTCATTTTTCTTCTTTTGTTTGGTTTGACCACGCATAGCTTGTGTCCAGAATTGTTGCTGCTACTGGTGAGGATCAGAGACACTCCTGGAATTTTTCAATCAGTGAGAGCATCTCTCCTGCGGCGCTGGCACGCATGTGTTACAAGAGGTGGAGATATTTTTGAAAATATGATGTAAAATAAAAATGTTATTGAGTTTGAAAGGAAGTATCGCCTAGCGCCGCTAGGACACGTCGTCAAATTCAAGTTCCTATGTTCAAAATGCTTGACTAATCACCACCTACCGGACCCCCGGAGTTTGTAATCTGAATTTCTGGACACACTGTATTTTAATACTAATGAGAACAAATTCTGTTCTCTAGGCGCGAAATTAATGGATTCAATACGTTTTTTTGGTTCAGCCATAATATTTTTGATTAGAAAAGAAATGTCAATCTTGAACGAAACGACTAAAAGAGAAGAAATTCATATACAAAGTGCGACGTTGTCATGTTGTCACTGAACTTAAAGAACACATAGTTCAAATTTTCCAAAAAGGTTACGGTGCAAATCCGTTAGAGTTAAAGGAACATTAAGATTTAAGGTATACTTTATTAATGGCCCCTTAAAAATAAGTCGGTGCAATTGGCCGGTACAATATTTCAGAATCCTTTAGAACTGTTTAGAATAATTTAGATCGTTTTACAATAATTTAGGATGCTCCAGAATCATTTAGAACTGTTTAGAATTATTTAAAACACTTCAGAATCCATTAGAACTGTTTAGAACCCTTTAGAAAAATTACTCAAATTTTAAATAATGTAGGTATAAATCAATTTTTTAAACAACTCTATATGACACCCTTTATATATTCACCTTTTGCATTCAACAGGATCCTTGTCTTTTACGAATTCCGCCAATTTGATGTAAGCCTCCGATAATGTGATATTCGACGGATTAAACGCCAAAGTACCGTCATTTGTCGAAAATGCACGGTCAGTTGAGTTTCTGAGTTTGTCGAAAGCGTACCGTTCGATGTCCAGCGACGTATCGACGGATTTGTTAAGGATAAAATCGATTTTTCGTTTGAATCGTGCGAAAAAAGCGGCCTGCTCATCGTTGCTCGATAGAATTCGGGACGTTTCCATTAACGCGTCGAATAATTTACAGTCGGTTTTCAAATTAGTAGATGGACGATCTGCGAAAAATATCGAGAGTTTTGTCGTAAATTAACCACCACGTATAAAAAACCGAGCTGTCGCTACATTAAACCATTCGTTAATTCATCAACTTACCCAATATCGTCAGAGCCTCTAACATCAACTCCATCTTCTTCGCCGGCTCTTCGGCGACGCGTCCCTTCAAATACGCCACGGCGCCTTTCAAACCGACGATCTCATCGTCACCATCATCATCATCATCGACGTACCTCCTCAAGTATTTCCAAGCCACGTGATAGTTCCCCAAATCCACGGCCGCTTCGACCAAATCCAAATCCATCCGGCGGCGCCACGACGACTCCAATTCCATTCCGCTCGAATCTTCACCGTTCGATCTCTTCTTCGCCGCGACGTCGACGAACAACCGCCCGTAGAGCAATTTAGTTTCCGCGTAATTCACCGAGATGGCGTCGCCGGCGTCGCAGCCGCGCCATTTTCGACGCAGGGCGTCCAACAACGAACCGTCGACGTCGTGCGTAGAGGAATCGTAGACGTCTATGAAATCGGCGATTTGGGCGACGTTGCGCAACCGCAGGAGCCTCCGGTAGCGTTGCGATCTGAAGACGGGGTTTAATGTGCGCCAGTCGTCGAGGAAGTTTTCGATCGGCGTTTTTAGATATTGTTTGGCTGCGGAATTATAGGAAGTTGATCGAAATTATAGGCCCGAATAATATACTATTTATTTTTAGTGTATTGTAGGCTATTGGGTCAATGTGGCAACGCCGCAATGATGATGCCTACGATAGAGGGGAATACAGACAAAATTGAATTGGAATTGATTGTTCACTAGAGCGGCACATATTAAAAATGGACAAGACGAGTCTATAAAAACGTTAAAAGATCCTTTAACGAAAGGAAGCTTTACGATAAAATGTTCTAAATGCAGTACCTACTATACGAAATTTCTGTCGTCTATAATGAGCTCTACAAACGAAAGCTTCGAACTTTCAAATTACAATAATAATTATTGTAGAAATGCATTATGTCTGCCTTTGTCTTTGGACTTTTTTGCTTTCATCTAATTTGTTATAGACCTAATTTGTCTTTGGGCTATTTTGTCTTTGGTTTATTTTGCTATGACCATTTGTCATTGGACTATTTTACTTTGACCTAATTTGTCTTTGGACTATTTTGACAAGTCACACATGTACGCAACCTCTGTATAACATTATTTACTTCACAACTAACTCGCAACACATACCTGTCCTCACGTCGTTCTGCATCAACCACAGCACGCAAAGTTCCTCGGCGAAATTCCGCGCCAAATACCCCCTTCGATCCGGTCTAACAAGGTACTCGTTCAACCTCCGCAGGAACTCGTCGTCGACGCGCATCTCCGTCAATTGCGACCTCACCCGAGCCTTCATATACCAAGGCAACAATTTCCTGCGGGCCCACCCGTCCTCCCATACGCCCTCCCATACGTCGCCGTCGCGATGCTCGACAACGTCGCCGACGGCCGTCGGGATCTTCTCCCACTCGCAGAGCTCGCCGAAGCACCGGAAGCACGAGTCCAAATAAAAGTCCCTGACGGTGGGCGAACGTTCGCTTTGGACGAGCCGACCGTAAAGTTTTCGCGCCTCCCTGTACAGATGCTTCGATTCGAACGAGAGGGCTTCGCGGATCGATTGACGCCCGTCGGTTTTGGCGAGGAATATCGATCGGACCGTGTCCCATTCTTCCAGGTCTTTGTATAGCCTTTGGAAAAAGCTTGTTTTTTTTATTCATCGCAATAAAAAGGGAAAATTAAGAAGGACAACATACATAGAAGTAGATGCTAAACGTTGCATATTTTAATTTTAAACAAGATGAAAGTGAGGTTAGTTTTTTTGTGTCATTCTTCTGCCATTTAGAACGCTCCAGAATCATCTAAAACTGTCTAGAAGAATTAAGAACTGTCTAAAACAATTTATAATGCTCCATCATCATTTAGAACTCCCCAGACTCATTTAGCTCCAGAATCGCTTCAGAGTCAACTGGAACTGCCTAGAACAATTTAGAATGTTCCATCATCATTTAGAACTATCCAGACTCATTTAGAACGCTCCAGAATCAACTGGAACTGTCTAGATGAATTAAGGACGGTCCAGAGTCATTTAGAACGCTCCAGAATTATTCAGAACTATCTAGAACAATTTTAGAACGCTCCATCATCATTTAAATTCTCATGAATCGTTTAGAACGCTCCAGAATCATTTCAAACGGTCTACAACAATTTTAGAACGCTTCATCATCATTTAGAACTCTCCAAATTCGTTTAGAAAGCTCCCGAATAATTATTAGAAAGAAGAAGAATGACAAAAATCTAATCTCATTTTCACCTTGTTTAAGATCCAAATAAGCAACGTTGCCACGTTTAAAAATCGGAAATATACAGTTGACTGCCCATCTTCAAGTGCGAGGAGAAAGGGACCAAAGAAAAGAGAAGAATTTTAGTTCATTTTGTTACTTAACCTAATTCGTATTGACAGATGAAATATATTTTAGCGCTTATTTTGGTTGTTAGCCGCATGGAAATTCTAAATGTGAATAAATGTTAATAAATGGTTAATATTATTAATAATTGATGCAAATAAGAGTTCATGCAAATAACACTCAATGTTGTGGTCCTTCGAAGTCAGGATTGGCCTGGAAAAGAACTTTTAAGCTGAAAATCTAGGACAGAGTTGGAGGTTAAATTAGACTGGACTGGGAAAAAAACTTGGAATCTGGAAAGCTAGGACAAACGTGTACGTCCACAATTGGTAAAAAATCCAGTTCTATTTCCTAATAAGTTTAGTGGAACTTTCATTTGAGTAATTGGTGCTCGTATAGTTTGTACTTTTGGATAAGTTTAGTATAAGTTACATTTGCTATTGGTTCATTTGGGTTGGGATAGCAATTATGTCAGAAATATAATAAAAAAAGGGAATTATAAAAACAAAGTTAACTTTATTTTCGAAGTTTGTAGCAAAGGTCGAGAGTGAAAGCGACAGTCAATCAAAGGATGATTTTTTAATCGAATTGAAAGGCCGACTTAATAATGTTCTGGGGTTGCTGACTAAATTCAATCAGATTCAAGAAGAGATTGATTTGTTATTATTAGACGAAGAGTTTGAAAGTTACGATAGAGATAGATTTAAGGGGAGTTTTTCAAGTTACCTATTATCAGGTTATTTCGAAGGCTAAAGGGCTTTCGAGGGGATCTGATGGTGGTTCTACGAGTTCTGGGGATTCAGGCAGCAATCACAGCAGTCCAAAAACTTTGTTAGAATCGAACGGTCAGAATGTGGAGTTCGCTTGAACGAGTTCAGGTACAAATTCAGGTAGGCCTAACTTACCGGCTATTCCTTTGCCATCGTTTAATGATCAAGATGAGCAAAGGCTAGAGTTTCGCGATACATTTAAATCCTTGGTGCATAACCGTAATTTGGCAAATATTGAGAAGTTTTCATTTTTTGAAATCGGCACTGAGGGGTGAGGCTCAAGAGGTAATAAAATTGGTTAGATAAGATATTATCTTCAGAAAATTATGAAATCGTTGGAGAGTATTATGTGAACGTTATGATTATACGCCTCAGTTGGTTTACAAGCATTTAAGTGGCATAATGAATTTCCCTGTAATTGTAAAAGAGTCTGCAGTAGAGTTACGCAATATGTTGGACACTATTACTAAGACTTTGTTAGCAATGGAAAAGTTAAATGTAAATACAGAATCGTGGGATTGTATTATAATTCATTTATTAAAAGACAAATTGGATAGGGCTACATACAGATTGTGGGAAGAGAAAAGACCTAAAACAAAATTGGCACAATTCACAGAAATCAAGAAATTATTGAAGAATAGAGTTGGGGCATTAAAAAAAATGTTACTAATAGAGATGGGGGAAAACCATTTAATAAATTCAAAGTTAATAAAGCGTTTGTAACGACAGAATCAGGTAAATGTGTTTTTTGTAAGAGCAACACGCTATTCAAAATTGTTCAGAATTTCTAAAACTAAATGTTTTTCATAGGTTACAGCGAATAAAGAAAATGGGTTTGTGTCTTAATTGTTTGCGGGAAACTGATCATGTGAGTAGATTGTGTGGACTGAATGGTTGTTCAAAATGCGGACTGAAACATCACACATTGTTGCACTATGGATCGGCAGTGAATGATGGGGCTCCGGGTACGTCAAGTTCTATTCAAGTAAATTCATTTTGACTGAATGATGGAAATAAGATAGACGGAGAGGTGCTTCTGTCGACAGTCGAGGTCAAGATGATCGACTCTGCTGACGTGAATGTATGTAGAGCTCTATTGGATACAGGATATCAGCTTAATTTGATAACATTCGAATTGGCGGACAGATTGGGGTTGTCCACCTCTCAGAGGTCGGTGGATATATGTATTTGTCGGGAGTTGGTGGGAGATCTTCGTCGGTAGCAAAGGGATTGAAAGAGTAGTTGAGAATGGGTCAATTCAACCCCATGTCTCGCCAAAAACAAAACAAAAAAAGAGAGGGCTCTGGAAGAGGGGACCTCGGACGAGATGGAGAGGGCTGGAGATGGGCAACCTAATAAGGGCCCTTCAACAGTCTCCCGAGAGGGATCCCGAAACCGGGACCTCAAAACAGCAGGTGGAGGGAGCGGTGGGCGCACAGGCTTTGCCGGGAACAACTGCCCTTTCATCTGAAGTGTCCAGGAGGCGTCGCATTAGCGGTGCCTAAAAGAGGCGGAGACGCCAAGCTGCAAGGGCGGCGGAAGGGTCGCCGAAAGGTGGCCCAACTGGCCCTTGCAACAAGGTGGCGGCGGCAAGACCGAGCACGGGTACGCACGAGGTTGTTGGCCCCAGCGAAGTCAACCCTAAAAATCTCCAGGAAAAGACCTAATCTTCCCGGCTCTACGGCAGGGCTGGGAGGCCATTGGTCCAATCTTAGTGCATATCTTTCGGGCCCGCTTGGTAAGCAGATATGTTCCTGAAGAGTGGAGACAAGTGCGAGTTGTTTTCATACCAAAGCCAGGTCGTACTACCTATACCGTGGCTAAGTCCTTTAGACCTATCAGCCTAACATCTTTTGTGCTGAAAACACTGGATTGGTTGACCGGTATATGAGGGAGAAGGTTGGGCTCAGGTATCCTTGCACGACAACCAGCATGGTTGGGGCCATGTTACGCAATCGCACAGTAGAGGCCAAATGGAAGGATCATGTGGCTAAAATGGTCGTCGATAAGGGTTGCCTGCAGGGGAGAGTTCTCTCGCCCACTTTGTGGAACCTAGTAATCGACGAACTCATAATCTTATTAAACGGTGAGGACTTTCTAGCAATTGGGTATGCCGATGATATAGTTGTCCTTGTTGTTGGAAGGCATATCACTATACTCAGGGACCTGATGCAAAGGGGCCTGAAGAGGGTACAGGAGAGGTGCAACGACCACAGACTTGCAGTGAATCCTGCAAAGGCTGAGGTAGTTGCTTTCACCAAAAGGAGAGGTATAAGACCTGAGGGTTTGCACCTTGGCGGAACGCCACTTCCAGTGGTTGAACAAGTGAAATATCTAGGGGTGACCCTGGATAAGTCACTGACATGGAAGGCCCACCTTGATAGTCGCCTAGACAAGGTGACTAATACATACTGGGCCTGTAGGAGAGCCATCGATCTGAAGTGAGGACTAACCCCAAAGACGATCATGTGGTTCTACAAAGTGATCATGCTGCCTATGCTCACATATGGGGCTCTGGTCTGGTGGCCTAGGGTAACCTTGACCACGGCTAGATCGCAACTGACACGCCTTTAAAGGGTGGTCAGTTTGGGAGCAACTGGCTGCATGAAGACTACATCAACTGCTGTGTTGGAGGTGATTCTTGGCTCATGCTCCAGTAATGGGTCTGGGGCAGGAATTTACTCTAGGACCCCAAAGACACAAGTTTGTGTCCCATTGGTCAAGGGGGTATCTGCATATCAGGCTGAGGTATACGCTATCTTGGAATGTGCGCAGATGAACCTAGACAGAGGTTATGTGAACCGTCACATAACCATATACACCGACAGCCAGGCGGCAATCAGGTCCATGAGTGGATATACCATCAACCCTGAGCTGGCTGCTGAATGTCGGGGGCGGCTCGCTGACTTAGCGAGGCGGAATGAAGTGCGGCTAGAATGGATTCCGGCCCACTCTGGTTTTGAGGGCAACGAAAAAGCGGATGCGCTGGCTGTGGAAGGGACGGCAACTCCCTTCCGTGGCCCGGGCCCGACCTTGGGCCTTACAAAACAAATGATTCACATGGAGGCGGGAATTTGGCTGAGAAATCAACATCTCGCTTATTGGAGTGCTTTGCAGGGTCTTAGGCAATCCAAGCTCCTACTTGGGGCTGGAGCAGGACTCCTAACGGAGCACTGTTGTCTGAGGAAACACTTCTATAACCTAGGTTTAGAGAAAAGTCCCCTGTGCAGGGGCTGCGGCATGGCGGATGAAACATCGGACCATGTTCTTCTGGAGTGTCAGAACTGGGCTGTGCTACGCAGGTAAACCTTTAGAGTCCCTGTTATGGTCTCTGGAGATACAAACAGGCACCCATTGAAAAGGACTCAGGCCTTCATCGAGGGACTCGGCTTCATGGATGCATAAGCAGCATGATTTTATGAAGGAGTATGAATCTATGGAGCATATATCAGAGTGTGTTGGTCATTCGGATGAGATTTCATACTTTTTCCCCACATCATGGGGTTCTGAGGGAGAGTAGTGCAACAACGGAGCCCAGGGTCGTGTTTGATGGTTCGGCCGTGTTTGAGTCTGGTGTGTTGTTGAATGAGCTTCAATGCAACGGACCTAAGTTGCAGGATGATTTAATGCTAATATTGTTAAGGTTTAGGCAACATTCTATCGTTGTCTGTGGTGATATTGAGAAGATGTACAGAATGATCTGGATCGATCCTGATCAGAGAATAGATGGTGAATAGAGGTTTGCGTTTGTTGTTGAATTTGATTTTGGATGAGTGGGGATGCTTGAGAGTTGGAGGTCGCTTACAGCGTCCTTACAGGCGTCGCTTACAGGCATCTGTGTCATACACAAAGAAATATCCGTTATTGTAGAATGCTAAACAAAGGTTAACTCAATTGACATTTGAGGCAGAGCATGTTCGGTTGTTACATGGGGGGCCGAACTTGCGGCTTTGTTCAATAAGAGATAAGGTTTGGATGACAGGTGGGCGCAGTTTGGCTAGGAAGGTTGTGCATCAGTGTGTGAAACGTTTTAGAGTGAGGCCTCGGTCATTGGATCAGATAATGGGTGTTCTGCCGAGGGAACGAGTACATCCCACTCCGCCGTTCTACGTTAGTGGGACGGATTACGCGGGACCGTTCATAATAAATAATCACAAGGCACGTGGCATTAAGACGTCCAAATGTTATAGTATTTGTTTATTTGTGTGTTGTTCCACATAGGCTGTCCATCTGGAACTGGTTACGTATCTTACTGCAGACGCATTTATTGCAAGTTTGCGTCGATTTATTTCTAGAAGGGCTGAATTATGTTAGAGCCAATTCAGAATTGAAGAAATTGATTTATTTAATAAAGGGAGAGGTAGATTCGATCAGTAATATGTTGGGATTGGAAGGTATTGAGTGAAGTTTCATTCCGGCCAATTCTCCAAACTTTGGGGGCTTTCGGAGGCGGGAATTAAATCTTGTAAGTTGCATCTCAAAAGAACTGTAGCAAATGAGACTTTAATCCATCTAATTTTGACGTGTTAATCCCATCCCATTTCCTTTTGGGCCGCAAAATTACAAGTCTCCCGGACAGAAATTGGAAGGAGATACTCATCAATCGTTTATCCAGATGGGAACATCTCCAGATGTTATTACAACATTTTTGGAATCGGTGGAGCTCCAAATATTTGTCTTAACTTCAGACACGCAGTAAAGAAGACAAAAAATATCGAACTGGATCAATTGGTGGTAATGAGAGACGACAACTTGCCACCCTTGAGATGGAAGCTGAGTTGTGTGGTGATAGTCCATAGAGGACCTGATGGGAACGTGCGTGTGGTGGAGGTGAAGACGCAACACGGACTATTTAAGCGAGCTATTTCCAAAATATGTCCGTTACCAAATTTCGTTTGAAAGGAACCTTTCAAAGGTGGGGGGATGTTGACTGCCCATCTTCGAGTGCGAGGAGAAAGAGGCCAAAGAAAAGAGAATAATTTTAGTTCATTTTGTTACTTAACCTAATTCGAATTGACAGATGTAATATACAGAGTTGGGAAAAAGTCCGGAATAAAATTATTAACTCTTGACCCAGTAATTTAAACAAAAAACGCTGAGACGCGTCAATTGATTTTATAATGAACCTATTAGTTGCCAATAAAATGATTTTTTTTTCTTCAACCCCTTAGGTGTAACCCTACCCAATTTTTTTTAATGCAAAGGTATGTCGTGTGTAGGCTCATTGAAAAGCCCATAAAAATGGAATCTGGAACATACTTTTTTTTTTCTTTTACTTACGTGCTTATTGAGAAATGAACCAAAAACTCTTTTAAAAACAAAAAGATTACAAATAACTTTTTTAATGCAATCGATGTAGCAGTTGTTAAAAATGTCATCCGTCCTCTACTTGACAGGCTCCCAGGCTACGATAAGACCTAATATCGGTAGCCTATCTTTAATTTTGAACGACTTTATATTAGAAACAAGCGAGCCTGGGCCAGTCAGAACACAAAATCTTATTGATTTTGTGACATCTTATTGAAGATCCACATTTGTCAACTGTTTCATTGGCACAAAATCATGCTGCGTCTGGACGAACGATAAGAAGGTTTTTAAAAACTGAAAAATATCACCCATATAAGGTACATCTTGTTCAAGAGCTTTTGGAAGATGATTATGACAGGCGAATACAATTTTGTGAGGAAATAATGAGGCGATGTGACGAGAATAATGGGTTTCCAATGAACATAATCTTTTCGGATGAAGCTACTTTTTATTTAAACGGTGTAGTTAATAGACATAATTATCGTTTCTGGGGTAGGAAAACCCACAGTGGATATGTGAAGCTCATACGCAGCATCCTCAGAAAGTAAATGTGTGGGCAGGTATCATTCACAACAGAATATTAGGTCCATACTTTTTTGAGGAAAACCTTACAGCTGATCGCTACTTAGACTTTCTTAGATTTGAATTAGTACCTGCTCTGGTCAAGATTCAAATATCCCCAGTGAAGCGCTATGGTTTCAACAGGACGGCGCTCCTCCACATTTTGGCGTTAATGTCAGAGAATATCTGAATGAAATATTTGAAAGACACTGGATCGGGCCATGTGTTACAATTGAATGGCCACCAAGATCACCAGATTTAACGCCGTTAGATTACTTTCTTTGGGGATACTTAAAAGAAAAAGTTTATCAAAATAGGCCGGATAATATTGAAGATCTTAAAAATAGAATTAGAGTGGAAACAAATAACATACCAGCTGAAGCTATTCGCAATTCCGTATACGGGTTTTACCATCGCCTGGGAGCCTGTCAAGTAGAGGGTGGAGGACATTTTCAACATCTGCTACGTTAATTCACCCGATAGCACTAAAAAGGTATTTGTAACTTTTTTGTTTTTAAAAGAGTTTTTGGTTCATTTCTCAATAACTATATAAGTAAAAGAAAAAAAAAGTATGTTCCAGATTCCATTTTTATGGGCTTTTCAATGAGCCTACACATGACATAGCTTTGCATTTGAAAAAAAAGTTGGGTAGGGTTGCATCTAAAGGGTTGAAGAAAAAAAATCATTTTATTGGCAACTAATACGTCCATCGTCGGGACTTTTGCCCAACCCTGTATTTTAGCGCTTATTCTGGTTGTTAGCCACATGGCAATTCTAAATGTGAATAAATATTAATAAATGGTTAATATTATTAATAATTGGTGGTAATAATAGTTAAAACTCAACATATACAAACGTCGGTTACAAAACCATTATAGAAAGTATAGAAAACTTCCGAACACGGGGAAAAAATCTAGCAGGAAAACCACTTATCCATCAAACCAAAAAAAAAAGGTAGTTACTTACTCTGCCAATTTCATCCAATAAACCATCTCCCTGCTATCGTCGTTGAACGTTCTCTTGCTAGAAGACGGCTCGCTAACGTCCAATCCTGCAACGATATATTCCTCGATCACCAGAGCTCCTGCCGCCTGCAAACTGCTCTCCTGGGCGACGCGCGCCACCGACTCGGGCTCCACTACTACGGCCCCTTTACACTTCAACAGCACGTCGAACAGAGCGCCGAACAAATTCCGATCGAATCGCACGGAACCGTCGAAAATCTTCCCGACGCTCTGCGAAATTCCCGCCAGAAATTCACCGGAACCGGAACCCTCGGAGGCAGCTAATAATCCGGCGAATAACTGCAGAAAGACGATCTTGCAGAGCTCGTCGTCGCGCCAGACGAGCGCCTCGAGGGGCTTCAGGATCGCAGCGAGCGATATCTGTACGTCGGGAAAGTCCCCTTTTCTGTAGCTCCTGTATAAGGTGACGGTTTTTTCTTTTTGCTTGGCGTATTCTTCGATGCGCCGGAGGGTTTCGCGACGCTTGCGAGCCTCCACTTGCGCCATGTCCTTGGCGATTTTCCACTTGTCCTTCAGGAACCGCCGCTTGGTGAGTTTGTAAGGATTAGCGCGTGAAGGAGTCGAGGTGTCGTTGGGGTTCTTGAAGGGATCGACGGTGCGCTGGCGTAAGGACAGCGTTTCGTTGAGGCTGGATAATTTGGAAACCTGTTGGTCGTGATAGGATTGGGTCGGGAGGAATTCGAGGTAGGAATTGGTTTTTTTCAAGGCGAAACCGCCAGCGTTCGAATCGTTGGGGAAACTATAAGAAAAGACGAATGATAAAAAAGAATTGATTTGATGAGAATGGAACGCTACAAGTGTACAACTGTAGGAGACATGTATTCATTCATTCACTGACTGATTGTCGAGTATGGATTTTTTGGTTGGGGGTGTTCGGAATTTTTTCGGATGTTTTCAGAAAGTTCATTCATTGTCGAGACTAGAAAGAGTAAAATTGTTTAATTTTACTTAAAAACAGTGTGTTTATTAGTAAAGTGAAAGTTGAGAACAAAAAGACTGAAACAATAGCTTAGTTCGTGAGGGTAGGCCAATGGCCGAAAGGGGCATAGCCAAAAACTTTAGTTATAATTCCAAAAGAGGAGCGAGAAACGTGACTATATATGAAGTGCAAAGGAGTGAAAAAGAACACGAAATGGAACTTAAAAATTGTGAAATGGACACTGACATTAGTATGAAAAAAGCGAGAGTGGAAAGTGCAATCCCAACATCAAATCGGTTTTGCTGAGAGGACAGTTGAACAACATAAAGTAACCCAAAAGGTAAGCGAAATAAAATTACCTCCGATTATAATAATAGATAGAATAACATCACATCAAGGATTGATCGATGAAATCAAAAAAACGCTGCAACGCAGAACAGTTCAATTTAATAGAAAAAATACCAAAATATTTGTGAACTCTAAAGAACATAGGAAAATGCTTCTGCACCAATTAAAAGAAAGGGGAACGCATCATTACACATACACAACAAGAGAAGACAAGTTCAAAAGAACTGTACTGAAGGCAGCCTCAGGCCTTGATATAACAGCGCTGGCTGAAGAAATTCACCATGAATTTATAATAGAAATTGAAAAAATTAGCCCACTAAGAAGTAAGAACAAGGATACACAGAGCCATAGTTACCTATTAATGGTAAAAAAAGATGTAAATGTAAAAGAACTACATAAAATTAGAGTACTGGGAAACATAATGGTAAAATGGAAACAATTTTTTAGGAAAAATATAGTAACGTAATGCTATAGATGTCAGAAGTTTGGGCATAGCCAAGCAAACTGCAACCTGGAAAACAAATGTTTTCAAACAAATAAAGTTGTTAAAACAACTGAGAAGTGAACTATCCCAAGCAGAAACGTTCATGGAAAAAGCAAATATATTTATCAAGTATGAAACCATCTACAATGAACCGTAAACATAAAGAAGAAAAAATATTATTGTGGAATGCCAATGGCATAACAAAGAAAATAAGACAACTAAGAGAATTTGTACAACGAGAAAACCCATCCTTTGTATGTGTAACAGAAACAAAAACCAGGGGCAGCAACCCACCACCAACAATACCAGGATACAATTTAAACTTTAAAAACAGAGAAAAAGGAACAGGCGTGGCCATTTATGTTACTATGCGAATTCTTCAATTTATTCCCCAAACAACGCTAGAGAGGGACGTTTCGACTTTAGAAACCTTCCACTTCAGAGTCAAATGAGAAAAAGAAAGGTTTTTTGTTTTTTTCACTTTTTTCTAATTGAGTAATATAGTTTCGCTTCAATCAGACTAACTATTTGTCAACGGACACTAGATGGACACTATATGTATTAAAATACTAGCAAAAATGATAATATAATATGATATAGAATCAAATGAATATAATATGATATAGAGGAATTCGTCTGTGACAGGAGAATCTTCAGACGATGAAATCTTTTGGTATTGGACGAGAATAGGACAGCAGGCGTTCTAAATGCCTTAGCTATTCCCTTTAGGAGTCTATTGGTCAATGGGCGAATTTCAGCAGTTATGGGTATTTAGATCTCTCTAGGCTAAGTAGATGAGTGATTACCGAAGGATAATTGAGTCTTTCGAAAGAAAGGCTGAAGAAGATGAAGAAAAAGAAGAAGAAATAAGAGTGATTACCTACCTGTTAGGATCCAAAGTTTCAGCAAACAACGGCACAACGGACGGATGCTGGACCTTCCAATTGGTAGACAATTTGTATTCTTCGAAATCGCAATCTTCCAACGGATGCTCGAATATGCTCGTATCGTATTTAACGTTTTCTTTCAACACGTCCAACAGAACGTACGTCGAAGCGTTCAATAATTTATCCTCGAATTTCGGTTCGTACAATTGCGATAGAACGGCAGGGAATCTGTGAATAACTGAGCGCGGTAAATCGACCGTCTTCGACCAGAAATCCGCCATTTTTTGTCGGTTTTCCTCGTCCGGATCGGCCAAACCGGCCAGTAAAATCACCCTCAAAGGTTCGACTTTGATAAATTCGTATGTCGCTATAGCGGCGTTGTACAAGCAACTCCTGAAGGTCGAATTCGGGTGATAAGTGTGCTTGGAAAACGCCCCAAGGATATCCTGGAATTTCGAATAATCATCGGAAAACAAGCGGATGGATTTTCTCACGACTTCCAACGCTAAAATCCCGATTTCAACGTTGGAATCGTCGACGAGCCGGTGCCAATCGACGATTTTAAAATCGCTGACTTGATCGAGCACATCCCGCGAGACATCCAACCGTTTCAGAATCAGTTTTAATATCGTTATTTTCTGATCTGGCGTGCCGTAAAACAGGACCGGCATCAAGCGGGCCAATGCGTGGCCGTCGATTATTTGCGGATGGGCAATTGCTACACCTGAAATTATGTTATTTGTGCAATAATCCTAAATGGGTTTTAAATGAAATTTTGCATTTTAGAAATAAATATAAACGGTCGGTTAAACGTTTACAACACTGTAATTATTCGTGACTTCTCTAGTGCCCCTAGATTCACTCTATTGCTTCTCTAGAACCTCTAAATTCACTCTATTGCTTCTTTAGTGCTTCTAGATTCACACTATTGCTTCTCTAATGTTTCTAAATCCCTGTAGTGAAACCACATTTGGAGAGAACGGCAGCTTTATTGGCGAACAAGTATACGCAGTACAACCATTAACTTAAGGAGAACTACCTTTGCAATTGCTTACTGATCAGTTGACTTGCATTAACTCTCTAACTTTCAATCACTAACCAACCTCAAATGGTTTACGTGGACGCCAACGCCGAACTCTGTCATATCCTTTGCGCACGCGCGTTTTATATAAATTACAATGTGTTTATAATTTGCTATGCAACAAACATTTGCAACGGTAAACTAAAACTCTAACAACACCCTGTAAGTTATCATTCTCTCAACTATCCACTAACTACCGCAGCTTACCAACCTAATTCCCCTTGACTGTATCAGTCATGTTGGCAGTTGTCCTATTTGACAAATCCCAACAATCCCCATCTACCCTTCTTTCGAAACACGTACATTTTTTATAGAACAATATTCAAAACGTAGCTAAAGATAGATAGTAAAAAAAAAGACTTGCCAATTAGGTATGTACTTACCCTCGAGGCACATGGCAAATTTATCCAAAGGCATGTCTTTTAACAAATCGCTATAATTCGCTCCGTTGGCATCGTTCAACGTACTCAACCAGAGCCCCGACGTTTCGGAAGCCGCCCTGTAGATCCTCTTCTCGTCCGATTTCAACGATTTCGCCAAAAATTTCGAAATGTCCTCTTCGTCCCGCCAAAATTTCAAATTGTTTGCCAACAGCACGGACGACACGTGCAAAGCCGCCTCCGCTGCGGTTTCGTTAGAAAACAAATCCAAGATGGCGGATTCGTCTATGGTCTGTATGGAGATATAAAAAATTATAAAAATCACTAAATGTTTATCGTATTAGAGCACTGTTATGTATTAGCTAACTATTTCTGTAGTAAAACACTTTACTAAAACGTGAAACGACCATTTATTTGTAACCTCCAAACTCAACTGCCTGAAGCAGTGTTACCAACTCTATTAATGTATGTATGCCTGTAAATAGGCAACCAGATATATTACAAGCACAAATCGCTAATATCACTAGCACTCTTTTTCCATTATAATGGACTAATTTGTGGAAGTTGTCTCTTATAATATAAAAGAGTAGATGATATACACGTACCGTCAAATGGGCTTTCCACGATTCCACCAGGAGCTTCAGAATTTCCAAGTTGTATTTGAAAATGTCGCGTCTGTCGTGATGAATGCGTCTAATGAGATGGTGCAGGAGTTTCGACGCCCAACGGACGTCGTCTTCAGAGGGATTTCGGATGTCCGTCGACCAAGTGGCGATCAGAACTAGCTAGAAATCGGTTATTTCTCGGGTCAAAATGTAAGAGGGACGTTTCTAAAGTTCTGCGGATTATGCAGAACTAATGAGAATAAGAGAGGAGATTTTTCGATTTTATTTGATTAATTTTGAATAAATCTGAACCAATTTTCAAAAACGCTTCACCAGAGTACCTATTTGCAACGGAAAACGATATTCAAATGAAGTATCGGAAGTGGAGTATAGTTCCATTTGAAGTTCTAAACCTAGAGTTTTACTAGAAAAGGAAAATTTAAAAACTTACCACATCGTTAACGAAATAATTGATCGTTTCTCCTGCGATTTTATCGATGACGAATCGAACGAGCGGTTTCAAAAAAACCTTGGCGAATTTTCCGAACACCTCGCTCTTGTTATCGATCACTTTTACAAGAAAGATTTTCACGTTTTTGTGCGTGTTTTCGTCCAAAAGAGTCGATGCAATGCCTGGGAATACACAAGAAAAAAATTAATATAAATGCTCGGCAACTATTTTAAATGTACAACATTAGGTTTGTTCCAACCAACAATTCTATCATCGTTCGTTACCACTAATTGAACTGATTAATGCGCATGCGTGAGTAAAATTAGTAAAGTTAACAATAATGTTTTATCAAACGATTGGAACGGTAAAGAATTAAGCATAAAGCCAAAAAAAGAAGGGAAGAGAAGATAACCTCAAAAAATTAAAAAATAAACAAGTTTCTCTGTCACCACGCCGATTACAGCCATGCTTGAAATGGATGCACCCCCGTTATATCTTGGCCAAATAACACGAAATTCTTCCACTCCTACTTGTACAAAAAAATATCCATTAAAATTAATGGTAAAGACTACTGCACAAATACAGTGTGTGTCACTACGATGGCCCATTAGAAGTATCTGGAAAAGTAGTGGTAATTAAAATTTGAAAATTTGTCTACAAATGTTAGTTGATGCGCTCTATTAAATGAAAACGGTGGTTTTTGTAGGATGGCTAATAAAAAGGTCAAAGATGTTTGAACCTGTTTTGAAAAACTCCTATTTGTATACAGTGTGTTATACAGTGTGTTATACCCATTTTTTTCTATTTTATTGAAAACAGCAGTAAAAAATAAGAGAAGTTCATGTTTACTTCCCTATATCTAAACCTAATAGTTTTGAAGATATTAATAATTTTACATAAAACTTACTTTTCTGCTTTATTCTTAAATAACTCGCTTTTACAAGTCTACAAATATCTTTAAATGGGTTCCATTTTAAAAAATGAAAAAACTTGGTATTTTTGAAGTTCAACTTTTCACATGTTTTGTATACACCCTGTATAAAATAAAAAGTTTTTTAATACAGATTCAAATACCTTTGACCTTGCTAAAATTTGGCGTACATTTCGAAAATATATTATATATGGGGTGTCCCATTTAAAATAACTAAGTTGCTGTCCACGGTATAACAGGTATAACGGTATAACACGGTATAACAGGAAGTAAGGAAAAGTTGAAAATATTTTTATTGAATAGAGCGCATCGACTAATACTTGTACACATATTTTTAAATTTTAATTACCACTACTTTTCCAGATACTTTTAATGGACCATCGTCGTAACACAGACTGTATACATATGTATTTCCTTCCGGAATTTCGGATTCCATTCTTTCCTTTCCTTAACAGTGAAAACAGTCCACAAACCCACTTCCATACATAACCTAATCTACTTGAAATTTTTAATTTGACAGTTCTAAACAAAAATGTAACCATTGCGCATGTCTCCTAATTTCAGAACTTTCGATACTTGCTATGTAGCAAGAATCGTTTGAACGGTAATTTTACTGGTTAAACCGGATGGAACAGAGAACTGATGGTAATCGAGAGGTCTGAACCAGTAATTTCACGTGGTTGGAACGTTTTTATTTAACTGCGGATGTGTATTAGTAATGTTACTGAAAATTACTGGTGGTTGAAACGAACCTTTTGTATCTAGTCAGAGTAGTCGCGGGACTCGGTTTACCGACTCTACTCGACCCTTCTACCTTTTCCTCTTCCTTTCTACCCTTTATTACACTCTATTGCATTTATTGCCTATTCCTGTTCCATTAAGAAAAAACCAGTAAATTAACAATTTCCATTTTCTTACCGTTCATCCACATCGGCACCACCGCATCACCGTCGCCATCTTCGTCGGGCAACCTGCAAATGCCATCGTCGAAAACCCGTTGCACCAGAGCACAAACCGTCCCCATGCACTCGTGCCCGTCGATCTCCGTCGCACCCAAACTAACCTCGATCCTCCGTCTCCCTTCCACCTCCTCGTCTTCCACGACCCTTCCAGCGCCTCCATCTCTCAGTACGCTTTCGGAAAAATCGAACTCGGTCACGTCCTCGCTCAGCGAGCTGTTGTACAACCTCTGGCTCTCCACATAACGCCGAGTAGAGCATCCGGCGTCGCGACGGCGACGCTTCAAAGCGTCCCTGACGTTCACCAGGACCTTCCTGTCGGCCGGCAGGGCGTCCAACTCGACGGGGAACTCGTACTTCGCCTCCAAATCGATTATATTGTTCCACAACACGTCCCTGCCGTCGTCGGCGGATTTCCTCACGAACAATCGCTCGTAGAAGCCGATGGAAGAAATTGAAGAGGAATTGCTCACCATCGACGCCAAAGCGTTGTAAGCGCAGCATTTGTGCAGCCTGTTTAGAGGATTGCCGTTCGCTACCACCTGAGGTTGTTTGAAGGCGTCCAAGGCGATCTTGAGCAGCCGCGCTAGTAATTTGGGTTCGTTCGCTGATATACTTAGAGCGCAATTACCTTCGGAGCTGAGCGGCGATCTCAGAAACAACACTTCTATTAGAATGAAATTTACGCTGCAGCGTTCGAGGTTGTTTTCGTCGAACGTTCGCAGGATTTCCGGGATGTTCGAGGCGAAGAATCGCTCAAATACATCGATATCGACGTTAGTTAAAACTGCCGTTAAAATTTCCTTGGCGATTTTAATCGTGGCAACGTCGTAGAGTTTTTGCAAGATCTCTTCTTGCGCATCTCGATCAAGGTTTTTCGCGCATTTTCCGATTAAATCTTCGGCGTTCGCGATCGGTTCGATTTTCTCGACAATATTTATCAAGTATTCGAACAGTTCATGAGATTTTACTATGGGTAGAAACGTCAGTAATTTGTTGAAATACGTTTTTTTGGCTCCTTCGTCGCGCGTTTGATTTTGAATTTCTTCGTCGAACACGGCAAATACTTGCGGCCAGTAAACGCTAATAAAAGAAAAAAAATGTGTGTGTGGAATAATACAATTATACAAAAATATACAGGGCGTTTCATTAAGCGAAAAAAAACTCCAGCTGTATGAACGGATGTAAATTGGGTGTAAATGTTGTGCAATAGTTCCTAGAGAAATGTATTTGAATGTACTTTAGTCTCAATCTTTTCTATTTTGAATAATCTACTCTACTCTAAATTTAATGTAGACACTGAATCTACTCTACTCTTCAACAAACAATCTACCCCCACTAAAACTAGATAAAAAATATCAAAGAGACTAACTATCTCTACTAACCTTCGATCCTGTACGCGGCGATTTCGAGCCGCTCTAGCCAACAGTCCGAACAATTCCACGTCGTTATTACGGCCTTTCACTATGCAATTCACCAGCCAATCTTCCACGTTGGCAGAATTAAAGTCTCTCTTCAATCGAACGACGAGCCTCAACAATTCCGTTCCTTTTTTAACGTTCAAACGATCACCGAAATCGTTCCAACGATTCAACAAACAATTAACGACGCTTTCGCGACGCGTCGCGACGCATTCGTTCTTGCAAATCCATTCCAAAATAAACGGGATTATATCCAGAGCGAGTTCGATGTTCGATGTTCGTAAACCGATCGATAAAAAATCGTCGAAATTTCGCATTAAAACCGGAACAAAAGCTTTATCGAAGGTGGTTACGAAGAACGAACAAAGATCGACGTTCCGAGCCGCTTCTGAGGATTTTACGCGACGATCGCTAAGCAATAACAAATTCGCGATCGAATCGAAATTCTTCGGCAACACCAGCTCGAATAGATTCGATAGATGCGACAAAGTGGTGTCCGGTATTCGATTGATGAAAATCAAACCGTCTGTAGCTCGGTTAGAAAATTCGACGAGAAATTGATCGAGAGCCGAGTTTACAGTAGCGAGATCGAGCCGAGACGAGATCGTAGATTTAGCCAACAACGAAATACCGTTCAATAAATTTCTATCATTCAAATTCGTATTGGTTTCCAAACGAGCACAAGGAGTCGTGAACGCATCGATTCGTCGTTGCAGAGCCCCCACGAACGAATCGCAATCGATTTTCTCGTACATCGAATTGCACAAAACCGTCAACGAATCGATTTCGTCGTTAACCAAACCCCGTTCCTGCGGAGCCAATATCACGTCGGAGAGGAATCTCCAAAACCCGTCGCTCCAGCTCTTCTTCTTATCCAATTGGATTTTCGCGTGGTTTTGCACGAGAGCCGCATAGAACCGCAACATCGCCCTTACGCATTCGTTCTTCAATTTCCCGTACAAATCTCGCTCGGAAGCGGCGCCAGAGGCGTTCAGATCGTCGCAGAAACGCATCTTATCGATAAACCGATCGATTTCCTCGAAAACGCGCTCGTCAAAATCGATTTTCTCGAGCCGATGGCGCGTCAGGAACGCGTAACCGTCCAAGCAACAGGTGAAATTGCGCAAGTAACAAAACAAACCGGCGTGATCGCGAATCGATTCGATGCTCGACAGTTTGCCGTCGTACAAATCGCGCAATGTGCCGGAGAAATGCTCGGAAAGGAGGAAGTCGCTCAAATGGCGAGGCCGCGAAGAGCATAGAGGAGTTATGCTGACGAAGAGCTCCATGGAAGCTTCCCTGGAATTGTAACGAGACCACAATGATTCTAATGAGATATACAGGTCGCTCCATTTTTGATCGCAACATAGGTTATACCGAGCGTGCGATAAAGACAACTTCTATTAGACACTTATAAAGGAAAAAGAAAGAGTGACATTTGTGTCTTTGCAACTTTTCACTCTGACAACTGTCATTTTGTAACGTAATATTTATTTTTCTTTTATCCGCCATTGTAAGGGTGATAATTTGAATCTACAAAAGTCGAATTTCTAAGTTCTCTGTACTGCCTAATTATTTCTTTCGTCGTAATATAAATTTGATTGTGTTAATTTTAGAAAATACTTATTCATTTGCCTGGTACAGATAACTAAATCCATTGTTTATATTATTTTTGTACTTACTTTTCTTACTTGTTATTTTATAACTTTATGTATCGATATCCATTGTATTACTAGTTGTATTTCTGCTTATTTGTAATTTAATCGGAAAGAAAATGTTGTACTCCACGAATAATTGCTCCATTTAACTATAACGAAATGCTACTTTGTTTATGTTAATTAAAGACAAAAGTCAAATGTCAAAAGTTTACTATTAACGTCAAACTCAGAATTGCCAATAGTATTGATTGTAATTCATAGAACATAAATAACGTTAACCATCTGTCATGTTTCGCACCCTGATCGTGGACTCCAATCCAGATCGTCGTCGAGTTAAGATGTGTATTATTTATATTTTCACTTTCATGCAAGATTTAAAATTACAATTATGTGTAGCTAAACGTAACGTGAAAAAGCCGTAAGGCGCGGCTTTGGTTTGTTAAACGTCCTGATGGAATGCTCCAGGGTCGACAAAATTAGGTAACATCGATTCTTTTACACGTGGCATCTTCGTGATGGCCGACATTTTCTTTCTATGGTATTCTAACTCATGGTAATTTTAACTATGGTAATTTTTTAATTGTCACCTTTATCCTGTGAATTTTGAATTTAATTTTGTTTTTGTTCTTTCACTTAAAGGACGAATAATTTATTATTAACGATTTCCGAATTTTTGAAAAGAAAACCCAATTTTGTTAAACTTTAAATTTTCTTTTTTTTTTGACTAAATTCCTTCCCGTTTTAATTTCTGCCTTTGTTTGATAATGGTGTAGATTATTAGAATTTGATTTTATTATTTCACATTTATTATAGTCTCTATAATTTCATTTTCATTGTGACATTTAATGTACCCGCTGTTACTTAAATGGCTGATTCATTTCAAATAAATTCGATTTCTTTTGTATAAACGTATAAATTGTTAAATTTGATTGATTATCTAAATTTACTGTATCGGAAGTCCCAGAAGTAAATATCATTGTTATAGAAGTAACCAATAAACATTGTTAATTCTGTTTCGAGTTAGATTTTTTTTTCATTCTACATAAATACCGAATATTGTTGATAAAAGATATGGATTGAATTCTGGCATCGCCTGACTTAGGGCTTATTAACGGGTCATATTACCTTCAGTATTTGAATTGTAAACACAAATTTTACTAATATAACACTTGCGATTCACGTCCCAAAATTAAACACTACAATTTTAATAATCTTTCTTTGTTCCACTCATAGAAATGACCATGTTGCAATCGGAAATGGAGCAAGGCGTATATAGAATGATTCGCATTCACCGCCCCACTTTAAACTTAAACATTGCTTTAGAGGGACAGCTTTAACGTATAACCAAAATCCCTAGTTACTCCATAACAACAATGTAAAACTGTCAAGTTAGAGACGCGACTTTAAAGTCGTGTGTTTAAGGTTAAAATAGGGCGCTGAATACCATTCTCAATAAACTGAATACAGCCTTCTCTATAAAGCTAAATTTTAGAGGTGCAATCCCAGACACCGGTGCCCCGTTCCTCCACCAATACCTCCTTTGGTGGAACTCCTGCAGCTACTCTAGCACGTCCATCAGTCCAGGTACTTCTAGCTCAAGGGCTCCCCCCGTATTTCTCAGACACCAGCGCCATCTTACTAGTCTTTTTTCCTAATTATCTATTCTCTTTACCTGCAATGTTTGCTGTTGCTGCAAGTCCTCCGCAACAACCACGCCGCGACGTCCTCCAACGAACCGGTTTTAAAATCGCTCGGTATCGCTCGGTTCCCGTCGAATCGCCGAAACGTCCCGGGTTTCTCGACGATGACGCGCCTCGCCCGGCCCAATGCCCTTTTGATCGACGCCGCGACGGCGCCGTCGACGGCGACGTCGTCCAAACTCGTGACCAAAACGTGCAGGACGTCCAGCCAATGGGCGCTGACCAATCGTTCGTCTTCTCGGAGCAGCGCGTGCGCGTTGAGGAATATGAAGGCGGCGCCGGATTTTTTGGCGCGGTTCGGATGCGAAGCGAAGAAGCGCATCTTTCTGACGAGCGTGGCGACGGCGACGACGCCGTCGTCGTGCGACCGATCGTGTTTGAGGGTCCATTTGAGGTGTTCGTAGACGCAGCGGCCGCAGAAGTCTTTCAAATTCGAATTCGTCGGGTGCGCGATGCCTTCCTGTTAGGCCGATTTATACAGAGAGTGTTAAAAGGTTAATTGAGTGCCGCAACCTTCGGGTTGCGAATATTTGGAGGATTTTAAAAAGAAAAGTATACACCTTGCTCCATTCCCGATTGCAACATGGTCATTTCTATGAGTGGAACAAAGAGAGATTATTAAAATGACAGTTGTCAGAGTGAAAAGTTGCAAAGACACAAATGTCACAATAATGTCATTATGTCATAAGTGTCTAATGGAAGTTGTCTTTATTGCACATATAGCCTATATAACCTATGTTGCGATCAAAAAAGGAGCAACCTGTATATCAAAATATGTCCTAAACCTTTTAGTTTTAGAACTACGGAGTGTTGCAATTTTAGAAAAAAAATATTTTTCCATCATAATTTTCCAATTACTCCAGATATTTTTATGAAATTTTGTACACTTTTTAATTATTGCAAAAACATGAAAATAGTTGAAAATGTGGAAAAAATGAAGAAGCATGAAAAAAGTTAAAAAGAAAACATGGAAAACGCAGAAAACCGGAAAATGCATGAAAAAAAAAGTGAAAAACGTGCAGAAAAGTGGAACAACGTAGGAAAGAGAGGAAATCCATGCAAAAAAAGTAGTAAATAGTTAAATAAATAAAAAAATAAAAAAACATGTAGAAAGTGAAAAAACATGAAAAAATACGAAAAACATGAAAAAAATATGGAAAAAGTGACAAAACTTGTTATTATATTGTTATTTTTTTCGGCATATTTTTTACGTATTATTGGCACATATTTACGATTTCATTCGCGTACATTCGCCCTTATCCTCCCTTAGTAATGGTAAAAGAAAAACAAAAATTACTTACTTACCATTAAAGTATCGACGATGATGGCGGCGTGCGGTCCCAAACGTTGACCGGGAGTCGCGTACCAATGGATCAATTGCATAACCAACGGTTCGAATATTTGCCTCACCACCCCGTCTATGTCGCAACCCAACAACAACAAAGGCATCGCCAGAAAAGAAACCAAATCGGTCGATTCTTTCAAACCTTCGGTCGTCATTTGCTTGGCTAAATACATATAAAATCGCATGTAAGTTTTTATATTGATTAGGTCGTTTAAAAAATAGATTAGCTCAATGAAAAAGGGGCCACTTTTCATTTGGGACACTCTGTATACAGGGTGTTTCTAAACATCGTGCACATCCGAAGGGGTGGGGGGGGGGTGATTCCTTGGCTTATTTTATGTCTAAAAGTTCATATAAACGTGGGACCGCAAAACGCTTCGTTACCGATCTACAGGGTGTTGAAATTTAAATTTTTTATTTGTTTTTTCTTTGTAGGTTTCATAGAAAGGAATATGTAATTAGTCGTTTTTATTAATTTTCATTAAAATTTGTACGATAAAAATATTATTTTAATGTAAATTATTCGGTTATCCTAAATGTGTAATTTTTTTTTAAAGTTAATTGATAATTGACAATTTAAACAAAGTGCAAAGGCAAAAATTTCTGATGCTCAGACTTTAAGAGTTACTTATACCTTCTACATTAACCAAATGAAAGTTTAGAAAAAGTGTATACAGGGTGAAATATTAAGTTTGGAAATATTTACCTCTTTTTTTTGAAGACAGTCCTGAAATTTTTTAATTCTGAATATGCCAGTGTGTTGCTGTTTCAAAATGTACACTTTTATCAAAAAATGAACCAAATCGAAATAACCACCATAAAGATATAAACAAAAGAAATTTTCGTCAATATTCATAAATCACCCTGTATCTCCTTAGAGAAGAGGACGATGGAACTTTTAATGGTCGTATGATATTCACCTTAAGTGCCTCTATGCACTGTTAAAGTATGTACGATTCCTCATGACTCACCCTGTATTTCTAAGGTCTGGAAACATAGATCGAAAAAGTGTTCCGTTATTTGAGGATAAAACAGGGTTCCTAAAACGGCCGCTAGGAGTCGATGTTGTAAAGGACCCCGGTTTTTTGCGTACGAATTATGTAGAATGAGCAATAACATAGGTTTTATTCAAACTAAAAATAGATACAAAATATAAAAATATACTTAAATCAGCGATGATTTTGTTGTTAACATCATGCCTCACCTATTTTCGGTTAATTTTCGGTTACCATTTTCTACTCGAAATGTCAAAAAATAATTTTTCAAGTTTTGACAGCTTGAACTGTCGTCTCACAACCGCGATTTAATAAGTAGCGCGACGCTGATTGGCTGAGATAAGTTGGTCCTCCGATCGTTCGCCACGGTTCGGCGAAAAAGTGAAATTCAAAAAGTCTTCAAATAATGGGACACATTATCTAATGCATAAGCATAGGGAGATTACTGTGCTTAGAAATATACGGCCGTGGTTGAAAGTGACCCACTCCTACTCAAATTACATTCTATACCCTATATCCTATACGTAATTTGAGCTAAATATCTCAAAAACTGCAGCTTTTGCAAAGCAAAAAAGAAACAAAAAAAACCTGAAATTTCAACACCCTGTAGATCGGTAACGTAGCGTTTGCGGATCTATGTTTACATGAACTTTTAGTCATAAAATAAGCCAAGGAATCACCGCCTTTTGGATGTACACGATGTTTAGGAACACTCTGTATACCGAGTGTCTACTATAAAAACCGCCAAACTTCAGGAGGTGATTATACAAGTAATTTTGAACAAAAAATGTCCTATAAAACTTTTTTGAAAAGTCGATTGTTTCTCTTTTATTTAACATTTCATTGTTTTAATTTTTTTTTTGGTTTTTTCCAAAAAGACCGAAATATCACATTTATTCGTATAGTTACATTAATTTTGATCATATACCGTAAAAGTGCATTAAATTTGCTATAAAAATAGTATTTATCAGAGTTAAAAAAAAAACAATACCGGGTGTTATAAAAGATTTAATTGTTATGAATATAAAATGAACATAATTATGTGTATCTTTTAGTGGTCGTAAAGCCAACAATTTTATAAAATTCATAAGTTTTTTTTAGCAAAAACTACTGTATTTAATAAGCTTTTAAGAGGTATACTCGGATTTTGAGGTAAATTTTTTTTTGTAGAAATTTTAAATGTATATGTTATAAAATACAAAGTTGTTCAAACAAGAATATCCCGAAAATAAAGATCTACAAAAAATTAATTAGTGATTCTGTATAAAAAAATGGAAGAAATGTGAAGAAAATGCATAAATTTGCCTTAAAATCTTTCATAATCAAGGAAGATACAGGTCTTTAAAAGTGTAGCCGGAAAACCCTCATGCTACTTTAGTATCACATTTTCGGCACGATTTTAGAGTGAATGTGTGGTTGGGATTATTTAACGGCCATCTGTTAGGGCTAGTAATAATACCAAATCACCTAAATTCTAATAAGTTTTTAAATTTATTAAACAACCATCTATTTGACATACTCGAAGGAATGCCCATAGCTGTTAGACAGGAAGTTTGGTTCCAAATGGATGGGAGCCCTGCTCATAATGGCAGAATTATTCTAAACTGGATGAACCAATACTTTGGGGAGAAATGGATTGGCAGGTACGGTCCAATAAGGTGGCCACTCAGAAGGCCTGACCTGACACCCCTTGATTTTTACGTTTGGGCGACATTAAAATCTAATGTCTCTAAAATTGATATTAATTCTCGAGAAGAATTAATTGATAGAATAAGAGTATGTTGTGAAGCACTATGTTGTGGCAAAAAAAACAGAACTTCGGAGGGTTGCTAGTTGCGCAAGAAAAACGTTAAATACGTTGAATAAAGAGAAGGACATTTTGAACAATTTTTATAGTTTTCAAATTTATTTAATGGAAATACTTGTTTTAACTTAAATTTGTTTTAGTGAAAATTTAGTATTGTTGTTGCTGTTGTGAAAATTTAGTAAAGAATATTGATTTATTTTTTTGGTTTTATTACTCGATAGAGGAACTATCAACTTTTTGAAAAAAAAACCTCCTTAAGTTTGGCGGTTTTTATAGTAGACACCCTGCATAGTAACAACAATAGGTTTGTTCCTACAAAAAGTCACTGATTTGTTACCAATAAGTTTCTGACTCTTCTATTTCGCATGCGCGGTTTATGATTGAATGGTGTTATGTACATTTACTACATATTCATCAAGTATCAAACAAAAACAACAAACAACATAACCTAATAATTATGTTGTACCTATATATTCAGAAATACAAATTAAACCCGAATTAAAAATGCGCTTGCGCCGGATTCTAAATCTCTGTACTATCAGCAATTTTTTCTGACTATCACAAAACCAGTCCCTTGAACTGTTGGAACAATAAATTGTTAATCAAGTCAGAATCAGAGATGTCTGTGGAGTTTGTTGGAACGTCTAAATTATTACTGCGCAGACTCCTGACGACCACCGGCTATTTCTGACTGTTGTAGGAACAAACCTAATAATTCGACGAATTCGACTCACCTCTTCCCAAGAATACCATCACGCAGGCCTGCAACAATTCGCACGCCGACACTCTCGTCTTTCTATCGACGCCGTTCAAGGCCAACTCGATGAGGCGCGGCAACGCGGCGTCGAGACGCACCTCTAAATCGGTCCCGTCGTAGGGCAAAGCGATCTTCAAGTGGCTAGCCGTCGCAACGCCGCCGCCGCCGCCGCCGCCGCCACCTCCCCCGCCACCGTCGGCGAACGCCAAACTTCTGCAATTCCCCGCGCTCTGCCGTCCCACCAATCGCACCATCCTCCACTGCAACCTCGTCAACGCCGGCTCCGCCTCGCTAACGACGCCGCTTCCCTTTCGCCGCCGCCGCGGCTGCGCAGACGCCGACGTCGTCGTCGTATACGAAACCTTGCTTCTCAGGTAACCGTCCAAACATGGCGCGACGGCGCTCAGCAGGGCGTCGAACGACGCATCATCGCGCTCTTCGATCCGCTCCTGCCAACGTTCGAGCGCGTCCAGCGCCATCTCGACGAGCGGCGCGTAACTCCTGCCGGCGTCTAAGGCGGCGACGAGCGGCGCCGAGCACAGCGGCAACAGCGCCGAAACGTCACGGACGGCGGCGGGCGATTCGAGGACGACGCGCAGCCGCGTTACGAGCAGATCGTCCGTGTAGTCGGGCATTTCGTCGAGTAGGCGCGCGACGAAGCGTTCCAAGGCGTCGCGACGCTCCTTCGATTCGTCGAATACGCCCGATTCGCCGGCGATTTTTACGCACGACGCCAAAAGTTTGAAGAAACCGCTGACCGACGGATACGAGACGCATTTGGCGAGCAAATGATCGAACAGTTTCGCCGCGTTTCGGCCGTTCGACGAACGCCATTCGATGCATCGAAAGATTCCGATTTCGTACAAATCGACTAAATTTAAAAATATGGCGTAATCGTCCGGGTTTTCCGGTTTAAGAGCGCCTTCTCTCGTCGATTCTTCGTCGAACCGTCGAACGGTAACGTTCAATTTGTTGATCAGTACCATCAAAGTTTTGATCAGTTCGCGGATCAATCGATTCCTGACGAATTTTCTTTCGTCCAAACGGAATTCGCATTTGTTGTAATTTTTGTTGGGCGAAAATTTCAACAAACCCGTCCACAATGGAATGTAATCTTCTACCGTTATTAATTTCTCGTCGGAATATGCCGATGCGGATAAATGCTGATGTGAGCAAGACCAAATAATCCCTAAAAACAAAGTATTTAGTTCGAAAATAAAAAAATCGAAAAATCAAACTATATCTTAAAATACACTCCTGGACAAAATTAACGCAACATCAAAAATTTGCCACATTTTTTATGCTATTTTTTGTTTGAATTTATGATCCGATTTGGATGATTTTTTTTTGAATTATAAGTTGGTTCCTTGACAATGTCATCATTTTTGGCAAAAGATGGATCTACCGTCTAATGTCAACTGCTGTATGTCTCGTTTGCTAGTATACTCCACAGGATGATACGAATTTTCGGAAAAAAACATTACATTTTTATTACACCCGGTATAATCGAAAAGGAAAATTTTATCATGAACAGAAAAAATGATGACATTGTCAAGGAACCAACTTATAATTAAAAAAAAAAATCATCCAAATCGGATCATAAATTCAAACAAAAAATAGCATAAAAAATGTGGCAAATTTTTGATGTTGCGTTAATTTTGTTCAGTTTATTTCTACATCATGGTGTAGGGTAGAGGAGGGAAAGGAAAAGAAAGGAAAAGGAGAAGGAAGAGAATCTAATTATCTACACTCATTGGGTCCCTTATTTACAAATAAATAAAAGAAATACAGAGTGTTAATTAATTGTATGCCAATACTTCAGGATGTGAATATTTGGATGATTTTAAGAAGAAAAGTTTATATCAATGTATGTCCTAAACCGCTTAGTTTTCGAGCTACAGGGTGTTAAAATTTTAGAATAAAAAAATAACTTTTCTATCATAATTTTCTTATTATTCCAGATATTTTTATGAAATTTCGGACGTGGACGTCACTGATAATAGTAGAAAAATAATTTTTATCCCCAAAAAAAGTGTTTCCGTGCATGGTGGGCGCCTATCAAATTTCAACAAAATATCAAAAGCATTCTTAATGAACTTGGGAAAAAATGGTTTTGGTTTTTATTTTTTTTACACGAAAATAGTAAGTCGTACGAAAATAAGTCTTCCGGCCGAATCTGCTATAAAATAAATGAGGATTTTAAAAATAATATTGGTTTTAAGAAAAAGCAGCGGTGTACCATTTTTTTTAAACATATTAAGCTCAAACCCCGTACGGACGTCACTGGTGATAATTTTAAAAAATCTTATGCATCAAAAAATGTTCCTTAATAATTAAAAAGTGTATACAAAATTTCATAAAAATATCTGAAGTCAAATAAGAAAATTATGATAAGTTATTTTTTTTCAAAAATTTTAACACCCTGTAGCTCGAAAACTAAGAAGAGGTTTAGGACATACATTGATATAAATTTTTCTTCTTAAAATCAATCAAATATTTACATCCTGAAGTATCGACATTCAATTAATTAACACCCTGTATACCTTGATAAACGACGGCCTCTAAGAACCGATCGAAATGCTCGCTATTCATCAAACGGTACAACGTCAAATGTACGGAATCGACGATCGCGTCGTGATGAAAATCGGGCAATCGATGAAACGATTTCATCATCGTCACGACGCCTTTCTCCAAACAAAACAACCGCGCGGCGCTGGAAAAATCTTCGAATCTCAGGAAATTCGCCGCGGCTTTCACGTAATCCGGTAGAAATTGTCGCTCTTCTTCATCGTCGACGACGAAAGAATTTTCGAAGGTTTGCATCACGATGAGAAACAGCTCGGCGAATTCTTCGTCGGAGAGACTTCGATGGAAAACCGAGGCGAATTCGCTCGAGCAAAAAATGCCCGAACGTTTTTCGTAATTTGATAACTGTTTGTCGATCAAGCTGGCTTTGCAGTACACCATAAAGTACTAAAAAAAAAATTATTATTATTATAAATAATACAGGGTGTCCAGAAAATAGATGTCAATAATTCGGGAGCGTATAAATGACATCAAAATAGGGGTACAACTTCATATAAATTTTAATAATTTGAGCCCCCATTTTTGAACTAGAGCCCTATAAAGTTGAAAATTTAAAACTTATTTTTACATTTTATTTCCAAGTTATACATGGGAACAATATAAAATTTTTGTGGTTCATTTTGTGGTTCAATATAAAATTTTTGTGGTTCACCCGTGTGCCGAATTTGGTGATAAAATGAATCCTACAGTATTCTCTGGAAGACAGTGACAGCGTGTGCCCAGTGATTAACAATTTGTATCTTTTATGGGGACAATCCGTATAACACACACGTATCGTAAATACATTCTTTAATCGATAAATTAACAAAAATGTACTCTTGTTTGAAGTCGATAAAATTAATGGTTTTAGAGAAATTTTAATTTTTATACCTAATTTTTTATACTTTTTTATACCTAAACCTTGCCGTTTTTGAAAAAATAGAGTTTTGTGATTTTGCAGCGTATATTTTAATATTCAAATTTTCGGTAGTTATTACTTTTTTTAGGTAAAATTAATAACGCAGCATTACAATGGGCCAAATTTTATGTTACACTTTTCTTAAATTCGGTAAAATATACAGGATGTCCAAAAAGTATAAAATTAAAAATTTAAGAAAATAAAAAAAATGGGAATTTTGTACCTTAAAATAAACGCTGCAAAATCACAAAACTCGATTTTTTCAAAAACGGCAAGGTTTAGTTATAAAAAACCTTTATGGAGCTTATGTTTATTTTCATCGTCAAACTAAAAATGAAATAATAGGACATTCCAATTAAAAAAAATGTAAGTTGTAGTGATATCTCATTTTTGGGACATCCTGTATAAACACTCACAACCTTTTCTGACCCGCTTTTTAAAATAAAAATCGTCGTGTCCGAGCTTTTTTCCCCAATGGGACAATTAAGCATTTAACGAATTTATTCCAAACTTTACACTCTCACTGTATACATACAGGGTGTCCCTAAAAGTGTGGGAAATCTCTCAGATCCTTATAGAACATGAAAAAATAAGATAAGAAGTTCCTATAAAGTTTTTCCCTACATGCCCTCCCTTGAAGTGCGCCGCTGGAAATAGGTTTTCCTTAAATATCTTCTAAAGTACTTAATATAATTTAACAAAAATCTAATATGATAGAAACTAGTAAGGACCTCACAAAATAGTGTCCTTGAAACATATTTAACTTGTTTAGTGTAGCAGGGCCGGGCTAAGGTTTACACCTTAATGCCTAAATTTTCAACACCCTGTATGATAAAGACTTAAAAATCATAAATCTGGAAAGCTTGAACCTTAAATTAGAAAAAAGGTACTCCTCTCAATTGTCGATAAAATGAACCGTTTACGAGAAAAACAATAATAAATGAATAAACCAGTACTTGTAAACCAGAAACGGTGATGCCTCATAGTGCATGAAGTACATATGTTTCAGTGGGATTTAAGTGGTAAGTGCTCTATTAAATCAAGAAAAGCGCTCTGAAGTAAAGTTACCGTTTAAAGTAAAGTTTAAAGTTACCCAATGCGGATTTTCATCATCCCATACATGTAAATTGTGTAAATTTGTGATACCATTTCTGATAAAAATAAATCGTTTATTATGGTTTTTCTCGTAAACGGTTCATTTTATCGACAACTGAGAGGAGTACCTTTTTATAAGTTTATGGTTCAAGCTTTCCAGATTTATGTTTTTTAAGTCTTTATCATACGGGGTGTTGAAAATTTATGCATTAAGGTGTTAGCCTTAGCCCGGCCCTGGTAAACTACAAAAGCTAAATATGTTTCAAGGGCAATAATTTTTGAGGCCCCCAGTAGTGTCCATCATATTAAATTTTTGTTTAAATATATCAAGTACTTTAAAAGATATTTAAGGAAAACCTATTTCCAGTGGCACCCTTCTGGGACTTATATCTTCGTCGGAAGGGCCTGTAGGGAATATTTTTATAGGAACTTCTCATCTTATTTTTTCATGTTCTATATGGATCCGAGAGATTTCCCACACTTTCAGGGACACCCTGTATAGTCTTACTCGTATAACATTCTCGCAGTTTTCCCCTGCATTATTCTCTTTGATGCAACAACAAAGAGCTCGATAGAATCCACGCAGAGCGATAGAAGCGACTTTTTTCTCTTCGATGCCGCTTTGTAACCAAATCAAAAGCGATTCATGCCAAAACTTGTAGTCTCTTAAAACGTTTCGTCCGAATAAATTTACGTTTTTTCCGAAGAACGAAATCGCATCTGAAATAGAATAAACCTTTGTAAATGTATATTTTCTACTAATGTAGATTTTTTTTATCGTACATACCTCTTTTTCCGAATTTCCTCTCGTTTCGTTTGACCGCGACCAGATCTTTCAATTGCAGATACAATTTCTCGATTGAATTCTTTTCGTCGTTCGATTCCATCGGAAAGTTCTCCAGGAAATCACCGAATCCCTTGTAAAAGCCGGATATCAAACTGTGACTAGAGACTTTAACGTGCAACACAAAGTTCCGCAGGAAAATTGTTCGCAGCTGTTTGGAATTTTCTATTACGTACGGATACTTTTTGGCCAAGTAACCGGTCACCGACAATTCCTTACTTCTCACTAAAACACGCAAAAGAGTTATACGAGGGTAAGGTGAAAAGTACTCGGCCCGAATCATTTAGAACTGACTAAAACCATTTATAATGCTTCAGAACCATTTAGAACGCTCCAGAATCATTAAGAACTATCTAAAATCATTTAGAACACTTTAGAACGATTTAGAATGCTTCAGAACCATTTAGAACGCTCCAGAATCATTAAGAACTATCTAAAATCATTTAAAACATTCTAGAACTATTCAGAATGCTTCGGAACCATTTAGAACGCTCCAGAATCATTAAGAACTATCTAAAATCATTTAAAACATTCTAGAACTATTTAGAATGCTTCAGAACCATTTAGAACGCTCCAAAATCATTAAGAACTATCTAAAATCATTTAAAACACTCTAGAACTATTTAGAATGCTTCAGAACCATTTAAAACGCTACAGAATCATTAAGAACTATCTAAAATCATTTAGAACACTCTATAGAACTATTTAGAATGCTTTATGAATGAACCATTTAGACTTGTCTCACCTGTATCCGATTGAATCTTGAGTTGTAACATCAACATCAAAGAATCGTATAAACTTTTATAAACCGATCGGGCTTCGTTGCTGACGAAACCTTCGCCCTTCTCCAAGCTAGTCGTCAACAGATCGAAGAGTTTCACCTTCAACGAAGCACCCGTTACGATGTGGCTGGATTTGATGATACGAGAGGCGACCGAGTAGAGATTTAATACGTCTTTTTCCTGCAATTTCGCGTGGAAATTGTTCAGGATTAAGTGTAAAATTTCCAAGGCCGTCTGGCAGGGTTTGCTCAGCGATTTGTTCTTCGACGATTCGTCGACGAATTTCAACAAAGATTCGGTCTCGTGAAAGATGTGAGGAATGTACGAATCTGGAATTTTTGAATATAAACTGTAAAATGACTGCTAAATGGAATTATAATGGTTTTCTTTTACCTAATAAGGAGGGATCTATTTGTTCTTGTAACAAATACTGATTGAAGCTTTGCAGTAATTTGGAACATTCCTCTGCGTTTTTAGTGGGATCTTCCAGGCATTTGTGTAGGTTTCCGAAGAAATCCTGAGGCTGGAGGTTTACTTCCATATTTTTTCCATTTACTGTTATTTGTGGTACATTTTAAACATAATAATTAACTCGAAAGAAAACTTCGCGGATTTGTTTGAATTTTTGAAATAGGTTAAACTCTTCTTTTTTTTTACTTCCGCTAAATTATGACAGTTCGCCGTCAATGTTGGTGTTTGGCCATCACATTGGCACAGATTATTTTTATAGTAGAATAAAAAATAATAGGTTACATATTAATTTCAATAAATATAAAAGGTAATGTGTTTTGGATTTTTTACATATTAAACAACAAAATTATCATTTTTTCCAATTTCTTCTTCTTCTCTGTTACATGGCCTCTTGCGTTATGTCGCATCCGACCAGCTTACTTTTTTCGAATTTAGGTAAAGACAAACGTCGATTCGTTTATGGGCTCTCGTTGAAGCAAGACGTGGTGCATAAGTGAAACAAATACATAGTGGTACGTAGTAGGCATACTAATACTACCTTTGTATAATTTACCTATCTTTTCCTTAAATAATCTATAATCTATACAAACAGATGTTATTCTACTAAATGAAACTTGGCTAAAAAACTCAGATTATTTTAATATTAAAAATTATAACATTTACAGACAAGATCGAATAGATGGATATGGGGGAATTTGCACAATGATTAAAAAAGGAATTGACCATATACTAACGTATGAAGAACAAGATGATTCAAATTTCCAAATAATAATTATATATTTACCTTCATTAAACCTACACATTATTAATGCCTATAATCCAGCAGGACACATTATTAACAAGGAAAAATTGGAAACAATCCTAAGGAATAGGCCGCAACCATACGTCGCTATGGGGACTTTAATGCACACAATCATCTATGGGGAAGTCACATCAATAACAAAATTATACAATATGCAGCTAATATTAGTATTCCTCAAATTAAGGTGAAGTCAGTAAAGAACAATTATTCAGTGTGGTGGGATAATGAATGCTTTGAACTAATAGAAAAAAGGAAAAAATGTATATCGAAATTTATAGAAAAACCTACACTAGAAAATTACATTGAATATATGAGAGTTAAAGCGCTGGTAAAACTAAAATTAAAAATTAAAAAGAAAAATTCGTTTAGGCAATTTTGCAATACATTAAATAGGGAAACTCCAATCAAAAAAATTTGGAATACAGTTAAAAGTTTCAAAAACTATTATTCGAATATTAACAACAACTTTCCAAATAAAGAAATTGCTCAACAAACATCTCTAACAATTTGTAACATTAACCCAGAATTTAACTTGATTCCAAATTATGAAAACTTTCCTCCCATAACTTACCATGAGTTCAGTAGTGTAACTTCAAATAAAAAAGACAAAGCCGTTGGAAAAGATAACGTATCATACTCAATGATACAAAACTTACCTGTACAAATACAAATTAAATTAATAAATATAATTAATAACATCATTAAAAATAATAAAATACCAGACGAATGGATGGAGACAATAATCCTACCCTTTCTCAAACCGGGAAAAAATGCAAATAATTTCAGCAGTTAGAGACCAATATCTTTAACTTCATGTGTCTGCAAAATAGTAGAAAGTATTATTAAAATCAGAATAGAATGGATAATAGAAAATAAAAACATACTACCAAAACTACAACTAGGCTTTAGGAAAAATAAAGGCTGTAGTGAAGCTATTGCATACCTAACCCATTCAATTCTAAATGCATTCAGTGAAAAAAAATATCTATTGGCAATATTTATTGATCTCAAAGCGGCATATGATAACGTAAACGTACAAATATTATATAACAAAATGATAGAACTTAAAATTCCAATTACATATATAAATTTCATCTTTAATTTATTTTCCAATAGACAAATCTATGTTAAAGATATAGAGGGAAAATTAATTGGACCTCAACGAAATTATCAAGGATTAGCTCAAGGATCTCCATTAAGTCCATTACTATTTAACATATATACAAAGTCAATACATAAATTAAATAAAAACATAAAAATAATACAATATGCTGACGACCTCGTTATAATATTAGAAGGAACAGAATTAAACCAAATAGTTAAAAAAATGAATACGTATCTAATCAAATTCTATCAATGGACTCAGGAACATAATTTTGACATTTCAATAGATAAGTGTGCTGCAGTAGTATTTAACAATAGGAAAAAATATAATACTGATTCAATTAACATTAAAATTAATGATAGGAAAATCGAATGGAAAAATAATATTAAATACCTTGGAGTCATATTAAATAATCGTTTAAATTGGGCGAGTTTTATTCAACATACAGAAACGAAAACACAAAAAGGATTAAACATCATGAGAGCAATTAGCGGAACATACTGGGGTGCAGACCCTCTCACATTATTACTATTATATAAGGGAATCATTAGATCACACCTAGATTATGCATCCTTTGTTTTAAAGCCATGCTCCAATAAATGGCTAACTAAATTGGATAGAGTACAGTATAAAAGTTTAAGAATCATCACAGGAGCTATGAAATCTACTCCAACGAATTGCTTGTTGGCAGAATGTGGAGAAATTTCACTAGAATTTCGTAGACAAATATTGAATACTAAATTTTATATTAAAATACTAACTGAAAATAATAACCCGTTAAAAGAGATTATCGAAAAACTTTGGACAAATTGTAGGGATAAATTAAATTTTTGGAGAAAAAGAAATTGGCCTTACCTAATAGAAGCAAAAAATAAAATAGAAACACAGTGCCAGAACCTTTACACATCTGACAATGATCCATGCTTCAATATAAATATAGAATATCAGATCGATCAAATCAAAACTATATTTGCTAAAAAAAGAAAAAATGAAATGTATTCTTCCAGGGAATTTAACAATGAATTCTTGTCAGATTATAATGACTATGCGTGGATATTTACGGATGGTTCCCTAAATCTAGCTGATAATAGAGTAGGGGGCGGTATTTTTATACCATCTATAAATTACAAATTCTCATTTAGATTACATAATTTTACCCAAATTTGCTCTGCAGAAATAATAGCTATATATAAGGCAATAGAAATTTGTAAACAAAAAGAAATTAAAAATTGCATAATTTTTTCCGACTCTCGAAGTGCCATACAAAAAATTAAATGCCGAAAATTCGGACAATCCAATCACATTACCTTAAATACAAAGAAAATGATTCTAGACTGCCAAAAAAATAATTATACAATAATACTAGCTTGGATCCCTGGACATTCTGGCATTGAAGGAAACGAAATTGCGGACAAATTAGCAGAAATAGGAAGAAATCTCAATATTCCGGCAAATTTTAAAATAGACAAAACAGACATTCTTCCAAATTTTAAGAAACAAATACTTAAAAAATTTAACGAATACTGGAAAGATTTATGTAAAACTAAAGGACAGTGGTATCATTTATTTCAAGAAAATTTCCATAGAAAACCTTTTTTTGCAAAATGTACGTATATAAGTAAAAGACATTTGACGATAATTATTAGATTAAGAACCGGGCACTGTCTAAGTGGACAACATTTATTTAGAATTGGATGCAAAGATGACCCATATTGTATATGTGGTCAAATTGAAGACTTACATCACATATTTTTTGGTTGTCCAATAAATCGCTTACCACAATTTGATTTGTATAATAAACTTGTAGAATTAAAAACGCCAACCCCATTTCACTACCCTCTATCTTACTAGAATATAATTACAATACTATCAACTTAATAATGAAATTCATCAATATATTTAAAATTAATATTTAAATTGTATCAAAACAAATATCTTCTTTAAATAATCTGGGAGCCCTTATTTCCATACCGAGGGAGCATTTCGGGTGTGTGTAATGCTCAGCTGTTCCCCCTGAGCGAGAAGAGTCTAATACCTTTGTTGTTTTGTAATATAACATGTCTGATACAGCCTACAGAAAGAAGAACTGAATTATCTACAAACATATATCCAAAACATGAAAATGAAGCCTGTGAATGAAGTTATATAAACTAATGTGTAAAGTGCTAGCTTTGTTATAAATAAACAATATAACGAAGCAAATACCTGCTCTGGCCATATACTGACTAGGTGGAGGCCAATAAATTAATGAAGAAGAAGAAGAAGAATTTTGAGTAAATAGTATGGAGAAAAAAATTCAGAGAGTTCAATCCGTGGAGAAAGAAAGCATCAAAGAAAAATATTGTCACTAAAAAATGATGAGATAGGAAGATCGCTGATCACATTCTATGAATTATACATATAATGAAGAACCGATATACTGGAGAAATAAACCTTCCCCAAATTTATTAGAAGGATTAGATCTAGCCTTACAATACATAGACAAACTGAAAATTACAGAAAGTTATCCCTGTTATTGTCACAAATAGTGGCCTCAAATACAAAAACTGGATTGGAAAAAATCGAATATATCTAAAGGGATGTCTAGGATGTAATGAAAAATGTTTGGAAATGATGGAAGAATATAAAGAATACCATATTAGAATAATATCATATTTTTACGCATGCTTCCACTAGACAAAAGATCGGGAAGATGCGCAGTAGGAATCACTCAAAAGGAACCAAAATGGAAATTAGCTTGAAGAATAGGAAACTTTACACCAATTTGTACAGCAGAAATAATTGCGATTAAAAAAGCTCTAGAAAAAATCGACGAAAAGCAAAAAAAAAAAATCATTTCGGACTCGATGAGCGCGCTACAAAAAATAACCGCCACAAAATTAATGCCTAAAGATGATAGTAATACGATATCTACCAGACAGCTACTATCTGACAATAAAGAAAAGGGAATAGACATCAAGTTAATATGGATACCGAGTCACTCAGGCATCATAGGAAACGAATAAGCGGACGAACTAGCCAATCAAGGAAGACAAGACAATTTAATAAGGGAATACAAATTACATTACACCGATATTTGGCCGAGAATCAAGGAAGAAATACGGAATAATTGGGCTCAATTGTATCGGAATGAGAGTAAAGTTAAAGGAAAAAAAAATATTCTTTACAAAATACACCTAGAAAAATACCTTGGTTTAAAAATGTTAAATTACCAAGAAAAGTTATAACAACTATCAATAGAATGAGATCAACGCA